CCCATTCCAAAGTGCCCCACACATGTCCGCATGATTCTTCTGCCAGAGACCCAGACAGTCGAGACCGCACGTTCCAGGCCCGCATGTGTGTAGTTCGTGACCTGGGCATCTGCCGGATTTCTGGCTTTGGGGGCACTTTCCTGTGGAAAACCCTAAACCCTAAACCCTAAACCCTAAACCCTACTCGCGGCAGGCTTGAGACCTGCGGATGTCGAGTTTCGGGTGGAAGGCTGAGCGCGTCGCATTCAGGGTACGATAGGACAAATCCCAAACCCTGAGCGGCTAAAGTGTGTGTGGTTTCTCAAACTTTCTTACATTCTTACCCGGTGAAAGAGTCTCACTGGTCCTTGAGCAGGGTCTTCAGCACACTATTCGAGGTTAAAACCAAGCACACTATTCGAGGTTAAAACCAAGGACACACAGAAGTCGACCAGAATCATCCAGTGTTCACCAAGCGCAGAAACTGCAACAAGCCGTGTCGACAGAATATGGGGGAAGGGGGGGGAGGGGAAGGGGGGGGGGGGGGGGGGGGGGTTTGGTTTTCGGCCAAGTGCAATCCTGGGGCTGGCGAGAGCGAGTGCATGCCTGTGTGCATGTTAAGACGAGCACCCACTCGGACCAGAGCCCCACGTCCTCCTGGCGACTAGGCTTCTGAGTGTCTTAAAGGGCTCCTAATTGTTGATTTGAGGTCTGGGCAGCTCGGGGCTTCGGACATTTAGGCCTAGGTGTAGGTGTTGTTGTTGTTGTCGTCGTCGTCGTTGTTGTTGCTGCTGCCGCTGCTGCCTTTTACACGTTTAACTTATAGAGGAGAGTTAGGGTCTCAAGCGGATTCATGGGCAAGACTGACAGGTGGGATGGATTCCAGGGTCTATGAGGCAGCAACAAACAATATTCATTTGGTGTTATTCTTCTTGGCGGCCTTGCCTTTCCAGATACTCAAAAGTTTGGATATTACCCCCCTGAAGGACTTCCAAGCTCATAGAAAGGTTTTGGGCGGTTCTCTCAATAGTTTTCCCTTTCTTCTTGGCCACATGGTATCACTATTAGACCGTGGGTCTTTGATCTGTTTCCAAGCTTGTTGTAACCACGTCAGAAGTCCGAATTAATGAATAAGAATACGAGTTACAAGGACGGAGTGAACATGAGGGCGCGTGAATTCGTATTACCACGAGCCATCGGAACTTCATTACGAAGTCCCCAACACCAGAATAAACGAGATGACCATACATAACAAATAGCAGTAAGTGTGCTGAACATTCTATCCCGACGAAGAAATCCAAGAAGCTCTGTATCCTTCTTGCGATCATCTTCACGCCTCATCTGCTAAATCCCGGTGTTCTCACCTTCGACACCACCACGAAGTTTCATTCTCCCCCATCATGGCTGCTACCGTCTGTATCTAGATGCCTTATATAGCCCCTAGTATACCTAAGTAGCCCCTACATAACCCTTAAAGAACCCCTAAGCTCCCTTGTAAGGGTCCCTCCTTTAGTTTAGAGCCTGCCCCTGGCTCCTCGTCAGGGCTCAAGTGGACGGTTCGTCGTGCTTCGGCCCTTAGACGGCTTCCGCTGCAAATGTTTAGGGTTTAGGGTTTAGGGTTTAGGGTTTAGGGTTTAGGGTTTAGGGTTTAGGGTTTAGGGTTTAGGGTTTAGGGTTTAGGGTTTAGGGTTAGGGTTTAGGTTTAGGTGTATTCAGATAGGGCTTTGGAGAAGTCGCTTCCTAGCTGGGCTGGGCACGACTCGAGTCTCAGCGATCAGTTTTCCGCAGCTTCAGAGACTGGAGTTCTGGAGTTCACACAAGCCTGGGTTAAGAGGGCTTCGTGACTACAGGCACAACAGCTGCAGGCAAGGCCTTGTCTTCTAATTACGTCGCGAATGACCTGACCGAACGCTCGGAGGCTCGCTGCTGAGGCCCTAAACCCTCATCAACCCTAAACCCCCAGCTGAACCCCTCCTGCCCTGCCCCCTCGAGTGCATTTCAGCGAAGATGTATTGCCACGAGGGCCCGGGCCGGCGCATGATGCCTGCACGGTCCTTGGCTGCAAGCCCCCACTTACACATGTTTTGACCAGGCTCCTCGGAATTTGAAAGTAAGCTTGGGCCGTGTTGCGCTAAGCTTGAGGGCTTCTCTGCAGCTTCTTGCGTTTGCAAAAGTTTAAACCTGCAACAGCTGGACAGAAGTCCCTATTATCCAATGCTCAAGGCTTGAGGCTGAGGGCAGTCGGGAGACTCTTGACATCGCAAAACCATGATATCATACTGCACGAGACTGGATACAAGAAAGCTCGAGCAGCACTTCGTGATCACCAGCCACGGATCCCAAGAATTTAATAGTGCTGAGCTCCCAGAGTGTCATTAGGATTATTGGATTATAAAGTTGTTTTGGCCAATCCCAACCAGTCCCGAAAGCATACGAGCAAAACCAATAGCAGGAATAGCCGCATGGGGTCTCACACGTGCTTGAGCCATGAGTGTGAGAAGAGACATTCGGCCACTGCATCAGGCGCGCCGACCCCCGAAGTGTCTTGTCTCCTGGCGCCCTCATTGCCCTCGCCGCCTCCACCACTTACACCCCCCCCCCCCCCCCCCCTTTAGAGACCTTTCGAAAACCCTAAACCCTAAACCCATAAACCCTAAAACCCTAAACCCTAAACCCTAATGTGTAGCGTCCAGGGCCCCTGAAGTTCCTCACCCCAAACGTCGGCCCGAAGCCATCCCCAAGCTGCGTGTCTCCAAACCTCTCCAACTGCCTCATGCCTAACCCCCATAATAAGCCCTATAAGCCCCAATAAGCCCTATAAGCCCTATATAAGCCCTAATAAGCCCTATAAGCCCTATAAGCCCTATAAGCCCTATAATCCCTATAAGCCCTGTAAGCCCTGTAAAGCCCCAGACCGTCCCAAACCATCCTACAACCCAATCCGGCCCGGCGGCCCGCACTGGGGGCTTCAGCGCGGCGCCCAGCGAGGCAAGCAGCCCGCTGGGGCCACTGCCCTGCAAAGCGGTTTTGGATTTTGGGTTTTGGGTTTAGGGTTTTGGGTTTCTTTGAAGTGGCGGGGTTCAGATCGATTCGGGGTCGGGCGCGGCATCTTTGCTTGGAAGCTCAAGGGTTTGAGCTTCTTGTTTATGTGCGGGCTAGGCCGGGCTAGGCCGGGCTTGGGTTGGGATCTGACATGGCTGCCAGGCCTTCTCCACACGTATGCAGAAGTAGCTCGGCAGCTCCGCCTGCAGAGATCAAACGGTCAACACTGGTCCCTTCGGCATCGTAGCCAAAGCCTTCGCCGCCCAAGGATTGCGTCGCTGCAGCTACATGTTGAGATATGGGTCTGCATGTTGCAAAGTCGCTTCGAAAGCTCGCATGATTTATCACAAACCCTGGTCCTCGAGTCCCGAAACCCAAAGCCCCAACTACTCCGACACTGACGTGAAGCTTGCTTTCAGGAGCCTTGCCTGCTTCAAGGTCCCCTGCCAAAGCCCCACCAAAAGAACCCCGGAGCTCCGGCGCAACGCGAGCCCCTAAACGCAGGCCTCGGCTTGCTCCGTGGGGAGGGGGCCTGCGAACGCGCGCGCGCGCACGCCCGCGGCGTTTCTTCAGGGTTTAAAGATGCAGGGCTAGACCGCCAATCGTGACCCATAGTGCGACCTGATTTTTTGTGCGACCTCCGATAGTTGCAAGCCGCCAGGAGCAGAGCTAGCTGGTCCCATGCAGCACTGGCTGCACCTTGGCTTAGTGGCAACCTGCATCTGAGAATATAAACTCGATACAGTAAAACAAACTGCACGACATGAGCGCCAAGCACTACCCGCCCTTGTCGCAAACCCGGCAAGAAAAATTGTTTTACTTCGAACATCCCCAACCTCTCTTGGGGGCACTCCGGAGACGACTCTGGGGTTGGGCACTTCAGGGAGACTCTGGGGCTGGGCACTCCGGGCACTCCGGGGACACTCTGGAGTTGGGCACTCCAGGGAGACTCAGGGGTTGGGCACTTCAGGGAAACTCCTAACACTCCGGAAAGACTCTGGAGTTGGGGTTGGGCACTCCAGGGAGACTCTGGGGCTGGTCACTCCGGGAGACTCTGGCGACACTGTGGTGTTGGGCACTCTAGGGAGGCTCTGGGGTTGGGCACTCCAGGGACACTCTAGAGTTGGGCAGGGACACTTTGGGGTTGGGCACTGGGCAAGGAGAAGAGTTGAGTTTAACATCCAACAACCCCACACCGACGGCGGGAAAATGTAAGCAACAAAATCAACCCTTGAAAATACGACACAAACCCAACCTCCACCTTGCCTTCAGTGACCTCCGGAGTTGCCGGGCGCTCAGCACGCCTCGGTTTTGGCTTCAAAGGGTCTTTTAGGGTTTAGGGTTTAGGGTTTAGGATTTAGGATTTAGGGTTTAGGGTTTAGGGTTTTTTATGGGCTGGAGCCTCACGGACACTACCTCAGGCCTGTGGGCTCTGGCCCTGGCCTCCACAGGAACCAGCATCACCAGCACTAAGGCACCAAAAACACCCTCCGCCCGTTCGGCCTCTTCGGTCGCTGTGTCTGCACGGCGCGTGCAGCTCCACCCGCGGACACGCGCGGTTCCTTCGAGCAGATTTAGGGCATCTCGGTAGGCAAAATCGGACGTGGGCTGCGCGTCATGTTTGCCGCAGCCTGGCAAAACCAGTGCTGCTGAGCGCTTCTTTTCCACACAGGCCTGTGAACACAATGCCTGGTGCAAACCGCTGTGGTTTGGGCTCTGCGTGGCAAGATCACTGCCTGGAGGACGACCTGTTCCTGTCACTCTGCTCCAGGCATTCACCTGCCGATGCTCCGCGCCTCTCACAACCTCTCTGAGCGGACTGTTCTCAACATAACATTGGTAGCGCTACACTGCTACACCCGCGGTTTCACAAGCCCAGGGCCCCACCACCCCACGGTCTGCAGACCCCGTACTTCTTGCAACTCCCTGGGTCCCTGGGGGCCCTGGTGAAATCGCGGCATCCCAAGAAAATCACACTTCTACTGCTGCACTTTCTCACAATGCGGGCCGTGGGCCTTGGGCCCGTGGGCCGCGCAGGCATGGCAGCAATGCGTCTCGTGCCAGGTCACCTAGAGGGCTCACAGAGGCTTTGGAGTGTTGAGATGCCGAGTGCAATTGCTGTAGGGATGACTTCACAGCGTGTCTAGGTTTCTCGCAGCTTTGTGTTGAGAGTTATGAGAGGCAGATCCATCCAGCATGTTCCTCAACTACTTTGGGGCGCTGTGGAACTTGCTCTAGGGGTTGTCAGTTTACAGTTTGCTTTTGCCTATTTGACAGGTTTTGCTATTCCCCACCCTCGTGTGGCGCTGTTAGGTTTAAACTAAACTCTTCTCCTCGCCCGGTCTACTCCCTGGTGCGCCCAGCGTACCCAACCCCAGAGCATTTTCAGAGAATATCCGGAGTGCCCAGCCCCAACCGGTATTTCTAGAGAATTCCTACAGACTCTTACTCAGAATTCCTAGAGTGCAACTTCAGAGTATCCGAGTATCCCCAGAGCATCCCTGGAGTGCCCACCCCCAGAGAGTCCCCAAAAATCCTTGAAGTGCCCAACCCCCGAAAAATCCCTGGACGCAGAGAATCCCCAGCGTCTCTCCAGAGAATCCTTCGAGTGCCCAACCCCAGGGTATCCCCTGCAGCGCCCAACCCCAGAGTATCCCCAGAGAACCCTTGGAGCGCGCATCCCCAAGAGCATCCTCACAAAATCCTGGGAGAGCCCAACCCGAGAGTGAGCCGGCAAATTCCTTGCCTGCAGGCTGCGGATGTCCGAAGTAAAGTAGTGTTGGTTTATTTGGTTTTGCTGTCCATCACATGGCCACAGGCACAGAGAGGGAGGAGAGGGAGGGGCTTCGAACAAGTGATGGGGGAGGCCCCGCCTGGTACGTGCATCCTTCAGCTGCGCAAGGCTTGCCGGCCGCCTTTGTCTCATTCGCCTCCGGTGTCCCAGGCTGCTTGCTCACAGCCGCGGAATCCTCGCTGCTGTTCCCCTGGGCTGCTTCCACCTTGCTGACAAAGACGATGCCCTCGCAATGCTTGCCATGTCCACAGCGCTTGCCCTTTGCACATGCCCCACAGCAGTACTCACCCTTCGTCGCCTGGTATTGGCAGCCGGGTGTGGCACAGCACTTAGCGGCCTTGGGCTCGACATCTTCGCTGCTGCCGCTCTCTGACACAATCACCTTGTCGCAGCGGGAACCATGCGCACCACGACCCTTCGCGCACACCTTGCAACAGTACTTGTCATGCCAAGTGGGCTTGTACTGGCAACCCGGTGTCGCGCAAGACTTGCCGTCCAGGGCCTTGCTCTCGGAATCCTCGCTGCTGTCCGATGCAACCATGCCACTCTTGAATATGATGCCCTCGCAGTGCTTGCCATGTCCACAGCGCTTGCCCTTTGCACATGCCCCACAGCAGTACTCACCCTTCGTCGCCTGGTATCGGCAGCCGGGTGTGGCACAGCACGTAGCGGCCTTGTGCTCGACATCTTCGCTGCTGCCACTCTCTGACGCAATCACCTTGTCACAACCGGAACCATGGGCACCACGACCCTTGGCGCATACCTTGCAACAGTACTTTTCATGCCAAGTGGGCTGGTACTGGCAGCCCGGTGTCGCACAGCGCTTGCCGTCCAGGGCCTTGCTCTCGGAATCCTCGCTGCTGTCCGATGCAACCATGCCACTCTTGAATATGATGCCCTCGCAGCGCCTGCCATGTCCACAGCGCTTGCCCTTTGCACATGCCCCACAGCAGTAGTCACCCTTCGTCGCCTGGTATTGGCAGCCCGTTGTGGCACAGCACTTAGCGGCCTTGTGCTCGACATCCTCTGAGGGATTCTCGGTCAAGTTGTGGGAGCGATCGCAGTGACCTCCATGCGAGCCAGGGCGGCGTGCACAGGTCTGGCAGCAGTGGGTCTGGTGCCACGTGGCCCGATAGCCGCAGCCTGAGCTGGCACACGCCCGGGTGGCACTGGTGTCGTCGGTCAGGCCTGCCTCTTCGACCCCGCGCTTGCCCTTTCCCTTGCATTTACCCCATTTCTGGCACTGGCCACCCTGCCCGAGGAGGCCCAGCACAAAGGCCAAGGGCCCACAATGCTTGGACTTGAATGCATGATTCATGAGCCTCATGTGCAAGGGGTGCGTCGCCTCTGACAGCTTGCAGTCAAACTCATGTGCGGCACACTCACCTCCATGCACCTCCAGCCTTCTGGCATAGCATGCCCCGCACAGGTCGTAGTCAGGGCAGGAGCCACACTTGAAGCGAGGGCCAAGCAGAGGGTTTGCACCACAGCCATCGCAGACCACCCCCTGATGCACCAAGAGGCCCGGCAAGAAGGGGAGCCTCTCCTCCAGCCTGCCCAGGCCGTTGCGAAGCCGGTCGTGCTGGGACTCGAAGAACGTGGCCAGGAAGTTCAGCTTCTCATCGAAGCCTAAGGCCTGCAGGTTTAGGGTTTTGGGTTTAGGGTTTAGGGTTTAGGGTTTAGGGTTTAGGGTTTAGGGTTTAGGGTTTAGGGTTTAGGGTTTAGGGTTTAGGGTTTAGGGTTTAGGGTTTAGGGTTTAGGGTTTAGGCGAAAAGTCGATGACATTCAATCCGACTAGGGCCGCTACTGTTGTGCTCACGCCCGGGCCTCCAGCTCAGTCACCAAGGACAACAAGAACTGGCCGCCATTTTCCGGCGACACCTGGACACGACAGCAGCTTTCGCCGTTCCACAGCATGCTTTTCGTAATCATATGTAGACAACTGGTACCTGTACAATACCCGTTCTCTGCTCAGACAAAATATTCGAGAATACACGGCCAAAGACCGTTGCCAAAAATGAAGGCACTTCTTCAGAAAGCAGATCCAGAAACAGCACGGCGCTTCTGTGTAACAGAAAACGCCTGCGCCACTGATTCTTCGATTCGAAAATGACAACCTACACGTGCACCCGACCCCCCAAAACAAGACTCAAACGTGGCACATGCAAGCCCTGAGCCCTTCAGGCCTGTTCATTTGGGAGTGTACGAACATAGGGGCCCCCCAAGGAAAGCCCCAACTAATAGGATTCCCTTTACAAAAAGGACCCCAAAAGCGGAAACCCCCATTTCTGGACTGGCCATACCTCCCCAGGCCTCGGCAAGGAAGCGTGCCAGGTCCTGCTCAGCCTTCCTTGGCTCCGAGGAGGTCATCATCTTCCATTAAATATGGGCCCTTGAAAGGGTACCCAAAGTAGGGTTTAAGGTTTAGAGTTCAAAGTAGGGTTTAAGGTTTAGAGTTCAGGGTTCAGGGTTTAGGGTTTACCCCCTGTATACCCTATACAAACTAAGGGCCCTTGCATCAGAACCCTTTACAGGAGGTTAGGGACCATATTGAGGGCACATGAAACTACACCAAGACATCAGAGTTGGGAAGAGCTTAGTGCTTCGGAGGCTTCGGATGATGTCACCTTCATACGCGCCTCTGCATACAGATGCCTCGTCCCAACCCTCAACCCGGTCAGAGCCTTAACGACCAAAAAGTTCTTGTTAGGTCATAAAGTTCCCAAAGCTTAAACCCAGAAAGCCCCTCTCCGAACCAAGGCTCTGGAGGCTGTTGCGGCCGAGGAAGGACCAAAGCTCCTAGCGTAGAGCTGTAGGGCTGCAAGGGCTTCGGGTGTCGGTTTCTAGGAGCACTTCGGGTTTGGGGTCGAGTTTGGGATGTAGTGAGAATGAAGCAGCAAGGCGAGCCGCCTTTTTTGTCACACACACACACACACACACACACCCACGCACGCACGCACGCACGCACGCACGCACGCACGCACGCACGCACGCACGCACGCGCGCGCGCGCGCGCGCGCGCTCACTCATACACCAACCCAGTTCACCTTCAGTATGCCCCCGAAAGCCCTGAACCCCACCTGCCCACCCTAAACCCTAAACCCAAAGCCCGAAACCCTGAACCCTACAATCCCGCGGAGCGACACCAGCTCCTGCAACGCCTCTCCCAACGCCGGCACGAATCTCCTGGGACCGCACCAAACCCTACAGATCCCGACAGCTTTTGGGTTTAGGGTTTAGGGTTTGTCTTTTACAAAGCGCGCACGTCGTACATCGCAGCGCCATACCGCAGCTGCGAAGGACCAGGGTCAAGAGCGGTTTTTCAGGGTGCCTAAAGGAGGGCCTCAACTCTCATAGCCTGAGCATCTGCTCGCAGAGAAGTACTCAAGGGGAGTTGCGCCTCTGGAAGCTCAACCATCTTATGCACCCTGCTCGCCTGACAACCGAAGGTCCCAAAGATCCCAAAGCATTCGAAGAGAACCCTAAACCCTAAACCCTAAACCCTAAAACCCTAAATTTTAAAGCCCTAAAGCCCTAAAACCCTAAAGCCCTAAAACCCTTAAACCCTAAACCCTAAACCGCAATCTATGTAACCCCTATCCATGTCCGACAAGCACATCTGCAACCAAAGCTCAAGGCCGCACAGAGGGGACGGCCCAGGGCCTCGGGCGCCTTTGAACAGGGCCCCGGGCAATCAGATGGTTCAGGGTTTTAGGGCTTAGGGTTGAGGGTTTAGGGTTTAGGGTTTAGGGCATAGGGTCTAGGAATTTTCGGGTTGCAAAGGGGGTGAGAGGGTTCAAGGCTCAGGATGGGAGCTTGCTTTCATAAGGCTACCCCAGCCTATTGCACGGAGCCAAGGGACGAACAAAAGGAAGGGAGTGCTTCAGTGCTGTTGGAGGCGAGTTTCGGGTTTAGGGTTTAGGAGTTCTACCCCCCAAAGCCGCCCAAGCCTTCCGCCTGCCGAAGAAGCCTGAACCCCCTCCCTAAATCCTACGCAAAGCCACCAAAAAAAACACCAACACCCCGAACATCCCACAGAAACCCCTAATGGCAACCTAAGGCCCGAAGTAGGGTTTGCGGGGAGTGTCGTGTGGCCTCTTCTCGGGCTTTGCTTGCGAGGCGTGGCAGCGTGCAGACCAGAGCGCTGGCAATCGCCTCTGGTGAGGCGGGTTGCTGGGGCTTTGGAGGTTCCATTCGGGCTCTGTTTGGGGGGTTCTGGGATGTGTCTGGGGTTCTTGGCCCTGGGTTGCTAGGTTCTCTCAGCGTTTTGCGCTTCTGCCCGCCTGCGGGGAAAGGGCAGCAGCCAGCGAGTGCACCGGCTCGGACTGGAACCACTGATGGCGGCCGTGCCAGCTCCACCAGGGGTGCTCCTCTTCAGAGGGTGGACTGGGGAGTCTGGGCTTTCGGAATCTGAACTCAGCATGTGGAGGCACTTTATGGGCACTTTATGAGCATCACTACAGATTGCTCCTCATGCTGCTGCGACTGTTCGCCATGGCTGTGGCCGTGCCAGTGGCCATGCCAATTGCCTTGCCACCCAAACCTGCATTTGCCACTGCCGCCTTTGCCCCACTTGCCCCACTTGCCCTTGCCGTTTCCTTTGCCCTTGCATTGCGGGTCCCAGGCAGCGTCGGGAGCGTTCCAGGGCACCTGACTGGACTCCCCATCTTCTGGCGCTGGTGGTGCCTTGGGGGCCGTGGCAGTGTCTGCGGCTTCCTGGAGAGGCACATGAGGCACGGCCTTTGCGAGGAGAGGCAGGGGCTTTGGGAGGCTCACGAGCTCGAGGCGGAGAACCACCTTGCCCGTGCTGCCTGCCATGTCCACACCATTGGCTCGTGCCTGGGCCAAGAAATCCCCGAGCGAGGCCTCACAAAGCGTGCACGCGTCCCCTTCCTCGTCGAGGTACCTCGGTGCCGAGGCCCACTTAGGTTTCGACATGTTATCTTTGCGCACCTCAAAACCATAAGAAAGACTACTGAGCCTCCAAGCTACCGGGTGGTACAGTCCTTGGCTTCGGGGAAGAGTCGGCTTACGTTGCTGGTGATCTCCTCGAAACTGGGCGTAGTGCTCTCGAGGAGGCACCGACGCACCTCGGACTGGTAGGTGACCTTGAGGACTGCCATGTCCGCGTTGATCGAAAGAGCAGCTGTTTGCGATTCGGGATTCAGGACAACGCCTTTCCGAACAATCTGGCGGCGGAGCAAGACGCATCCACAGCTGCAGAGAAGTTAGTGGAGAAACACCGCCCTGCCTAGCAGCAAGCTCAGCAATCGGTGCGCACGTGAATCATGGGCAGCATCATGGTGGCTGCCGTATCTTGGGGGGTACTCTTACACTGAGGCCCGGAAGCCCCCGACCCGCAAAGTAGCAGCATGGTGGCAGAGCTGCCTGCGGGCGCTGGGCAGCCTGTGCCAGAGCCATGTCCTCCGGGAGCTCAGTCTGGGGCACATCAGACAAGAAAGCTGGTCGGGCAAGTGACAAATATATGTGTGATTTCAACAGTTGAAGCATTCATGTGGATCCGATCCGAGCAAGCACCTGAGCTTTCAACACAACAGGGCCACAACCAATCGAGTCAGCTCGCCGAAGCCCGAAAGTCCAAGTGCTCGAGCGAGTGAGCGAGCGAGGGGAGAGAGTGAGTGCAAGAGTGAGTGAGTGAGTGAGTGAGTGAGTGAGTGAGTGAGTGAGTGGAGTGAGTGAGTGAAACCTAGCTTGGTTTTGCAGGGTCCTAACTTGTTTTGTTCCAGAAAGGCAACGGCCCATATTTTCACATTGCCCGACGAAGCTACGAAAGCATAACCCCACGATCTGAGCCGAGCGCGCGTGCGCGTGGGCGATGCGTGAGGGGGCGATGCGTGAGGCACTTGGGTGTGAACCCTAAACCCTAAACCCTAAACCGTGTTCCCCATCACAGGCAGAGCATCTGAGTGAGGGAACGGCCACCTACAAGTCAGCAATGAACCCCAGTGCGGCCACCAAACGCACCCGAGTCACCCGAGCATAGGGTTTAGGGTTTAGGGTTTAGGGTTTTGGGTTTTGGGCTTTGGGTTTAGGGTTTCGGGTTTCGGGTTTAGGGATGCACCGAGTGAGCCCAACTACAGCCAAAAGAAGTGGAGTGAACATTCGGGTGATCCACACCAAGTGAAAAGCCCAGTATGCCTGGCATTGCCAGTTGCGGAGCGTAGCAAGTCTACAACTCCATAGCCGAAAACTGAAACATCCTGGCACGAACACTTCACCAAGAAGCCTTAAAGTTTACTAAAGCCAGAAGCCAGCTCCGAACCCAAAACCCACCGAAAACGATCCCTTCTCACGAAGGCCCCAACCGACTCAACCGCCTGCAGGTTCGGTATGTCAGGCAGCTGGCCACTGCCATTGCAAGCAAAAGGGTCCGCACCCACCTGCTGCTTTTTTTGGGGGGGAGGGGGGGTTGAGATCCTTTTGGGAGTGAGGGCTTTCACCCTTCTTTGCTTGAGCATTCTTCTGCGTTTGAGCTGCTTGCGGGCGCGGAAAGCACCGGAAAGTGAAGTCGATTTCGGGCCAGGGGGCTTGGAGGACGTTGAGCCCACCTGCAACAACATCTCGGCCAAGTCCTTCGCGCTCTTGTCCGCGTAGCTGGCCTTTGAATTTAAAGGAGGCGGCTCAGATGTCGAGCGAAGCATCTCCATAAGACCCTAGATGCTTGATCCTCCAAAACGTCAATAAAGGCTCAGCACAGCGTGTGGCAGGGCCCATGATGTGAAATCAAAGTGGGACTGCAGGAGAGAAAATACAAAAGCTGAACAAAGCCACGAAGGGCCTTCGACCTGGACGTTTGGCGGCTGTTTTGCTGCTTGGTTGAGGATGCTGGGATGTTTGGGATTCAGGATCCCCATGAACTTGGATTTGGGATGGAAGGAGGGTTTTGCGGCTTTGGACTTTTAAGCCCTGCAAACCCACAGGCCCAAGTCCTGAACTCCTAAACCGTAGGACACTCCCCAAAAACCTTGCGTCAGGACTCAAGGACTCAGGGTGAGCAGCCAAGGCCGGGGGTTCAATTTTAGCTTAGTCACTTAAACCCTAAACCCTAAACCCTAAACCCTAAACCCTAAACCCCAAACCCTTCAGGGCTGTAGGAGGTTGTGACGCGTCTGGGAAGTCTAGGCTTCCCTTCGGTGACCCTGACGAATACGCTGAAGACCCTCAAACCTTCAAACCAGCCCTTTAGGGTTGAGGGTTTAGGGTTTAGGGTTTAGGGTTTAGAGTTTAGGGTTTAGGGTTTAGGGTTTAGGGGTTAGGGGTTAGGGGTTAGGGGTTAGGTTCGAAAAGTGGGTGAGCAACACCTCCCCAACGAAACCCTCATGGCCACTCTAGGCCGCAACCCACTGCCATCGACCCCCCCCCCTTGCCCAAGTAGGGCGCCCGCTGCTGCCCAATGCAGCGCCCCGTTGCCGCGCGCGTCGAGCTGCTCGGGCGAGGCGGTGCACTGGATCAGGCACCTGGCCGACTTGAGCACCGGGTAAAAAGGTTGAGGGTTGGGATGTTCCCCCTTATACCAACAGCTCCTTAACATGGTTATAGTACCCCCCCATTATCATCGCTACTATGGACTGTTAGTCTGAGGGGGAACATCCCAAGTCTAGGGCCAGGTTGAGAGCTGAAAAATTCGGCTTGCGTGGTGCGCGTTCTGAGGGTCAGAGCTTCCGTGAGATGTCTGTTGGGCCGCGGGCACCGGGTTATAGGGTTTGGGGAAATAGGGTCTGGGGTTATAGGGTTTAGGGTTTAGGGTTTAGGGTTTAGGGTTTAGGGTTTAGGGTTTAGGGTTTAGGGTTTAGGGTTATAGGTTATAGGGTTTAGGGGCTCGTCTTCAGAAAGCTGCCGTGGGTTTGGGGTTCTGGATGCGGCTCATCATGAGGGCTTCGAGTGGCTTACGCTCGTATCGGAAAGCACCCGCCTCAAGCTTCCCCCGTTGTCAGCAGCAAAACAACCCTGCTAACAAAAACCGAACCAGGCAATCAAAACTAAGGCTGAACCTTGAGTCCTGGCTGGGCCACTGCACCCGATATGCCGAAAGCTACACCGCTTGGGCCTGGCACAGTCGACGTAGCCCCTGTCCGAAGGACAGCTTGTCAGCTTGTGTCTTCGACGGGCAAGGTTGAGGCTTTTGGGACAGAACTCCCAGCCGAATGGCGGCTTGTGGGAGGGGCCTCGGGGCGAATGTGTCCGGTGAAGTCCCACACGTGACGCCGACAAATCAGGAACATCTACACGATGCTGGCAAAAAAGTACTGGAGGCGGCATTGCGATGAGCAAGAAGCCCTGTCAAACTCTCCCGTGATGCGAGTTAATTAACATTGTCAAAATCGACCGAAGGCGAAAGTCAAAGACTAGACATGATTTCGCATAAAGACAATTTGAAGCGGCATATTTTGACGAGCATGATGCCCAATCAACGCTTCAGGAAAAGAGCCCTTTCCGGTATGATTCGACTTCCGCCCTTCCGGGCCCATGAGGAAGTCTGCTCAAGCACTCGAATGACCTTTTTCTTCTTTATTAGGATCTGGGGGGGGTAGGTTTTAGGGTTCCTAAACCCTAAACCCTAAACCCTAAACCCTAAACCCTAAACCCTCTTTTCTCTAGGACGGTTCAGGGCTCTGCGGCGCTGACGCGCCTGATGCAAGCAATGCCGAGCGCCGGCAGCCCGCAGTCGGTGACCACGTCGATGCCCTGCGAGCACTGGGAGCTTGAAGCAGGCGAGGGAAGAAGGCGCCTCGATGTGAATTATTATTATTATGATGATTATTATATACTAATATTATTTCTAATATTACAATTACGATTACTATAATTATGACTATTTTGATGATTATCATCTGTTCAGAGCTTCAAAGATGTATGATGTAGCAGATCGTGTCAGACTTGATTAAACAGATCGTCTTGGGTCTCCGTAGTAGCAACGTCTTCACAGATTCACGGCCGGCCCTACGCTAAACGTTCTCGCCCAGCCCTCTTTTCTTGTGATGGACGCCTCACTCGTGCGCCAAGCGCATATCACCTCCTCCACCTCATGAAAACTTTGGAGGTGGGTATGGCAAGCAGTCAGCCAAATCGATGTCTAGCACAGATGGCATGAGCTGCTTGCATTGAATTGTGTGCAGTCCCCCTCAGCATGAGTATCAACGGTGCACTACTCCAAACAAAACGCAACCTGGCAGTGTGCAAGAATCTAGAGGTTAGCGCAGGGGTCTCGAATTAGCAGCGTTAGCGTCCGGCAAATGAAGGCAGCGGCCAAAATCCCCATTTAGGGACTTAAAGCCTTACACTGAGCTGCCTCCAAGCTAAGCAAGCAACCCTCCGTGGTATCGGTGTACTATACCGCACGAAAGGACCTAGGCAATGACTGTGCTGCTGGGCAGTGTGATCATCTGCCGTTCACAAAGGTACGCAAACGGAACAGGACCTCAGCAGCCTTCTGCAAGTTTCCTCTTTCAATCCTCGGCGCCAAGTATTGGGAAAGCCAATCGAGCTTCTCTCGTACCAAAATACGTATTAATCTATATATGCGTACAGCGACGACCAATAACTAGTGACGTCTTCTCAAGGAACCCCCAAGCCACCTAAAAAGAAGAAGGGAGTTCTTCATCAAGCACCTAGAAGTTACCTAGAATGTCCTAGGCTCAATCTCCACGCATCCTCGCCCAAGTACCGGTCCATAACCACCTGGGGTTTTCCGAACTTCGGGGTACCTTATTGGGGTCCTCATCATAAGGGGATCCTACTATTTGGGGGTCTATTTTTGGGTCCCCCCCTATTTTCGTGAATCCCCACCTGGAGGGGCCTGCGGATGGAGGCCTCCGTCGGCTCCCCGTGGCTATCGTGGATGCTGTAGCCGCAGGCTTGGAGCACCTCCGCCAACTCCCAGGCTGACCAGTCCTTGTGGGGCTCAGGCTTTTCGTCCGGACTTTTCGATGCTTCTTCGAGTAAGATTTTGGGAGTTTTACCCGTAAGAGCCAAGGTTCTTCCTTGTGGGGCCAGTTGCTGTGTAGCTCTTGGAGCCGGGGTAGGGTCGGAAGTGTCTCACAAACATTCTCCAGCCGGTTCCAGTCAAACTTGGGGCCTGGTGCCAGGTGGCGGCCGGGAGGATGAGCGACTTCGGCAAATGCCACGATGTTGCGTCCCTTGATCGGGAAGTGGGAGCACAAAGCCTGCACCAACTTCACCAACGTCTCACCCGTCACCCTCCAAGGAAATGCCGATGGAGTGGCTGTTCACGTCGTGTACCTTCTTGTGCTCCCTGATGTCTCCCGCGGCTCCCAACGGGCCCCAAAACGCAACTCCTGCATGCCAAGCCCGCTCGAGCAATCGCACGAACTGAAGAAGCTCTCCCTTTCGTGTGATGACAACGTGTTGAATTATACCACTCTGCCGGAACTCGTAGATGACGTCCGACAGGTCTAGGCCCGCAGTGTGGCTAATGACCAGCATGCTGGGCTCCATAACTTGTTGGTTGCTGATCTTGTCGATCCTGATCCTTGTCGGCTGATCTGCGTATGGATCTGTGATGCACAGCTGCGGCGTGTTTGGGAAATTGTGGGAAATGAGTGCTTCCGCCTCTTGCTTCTTGCTGATGGCCTCTTTCACCGCGTGGCGCTCGTTGTTCAGCAGCTCATCAAAAACTTTAGATTGCACGCGAAGAGGGCCTGTGTCACATGCAGAGCTCATGTGAACTTTGCGCAGCTCCGTGCGCAAATCGTCCAAACTTGATACTTCCTTCTCAGGAGACCGTGTATTGCTCTGGACCCAGGGCGTTTGACGACCGCACTGCTTTGTTACTGCAGCGGCAATGGTTGGGGCGGCGTAGAACAAGTCCTTGCCCAAGTGCGGCAGCAGACCCTGCACGAAGAAACTCTTCTCTCCGTGCTCTGGCTCCAGCGCCACCTGTCCGAAACCGCTCGGGAATAAGATCACGAACCCGCCTTTCCTCGGATACTTGATCTCGGGCGGAATGCCGGTGCTCGTTTGTGTTAAGCACCCTGCCAGCACGATGTCGGCCCTGCGTTTCTGGCCATAAGTCGGCGCAAGCCATCCTAGAAGCTGGCTCAGTGAGACACCCTCGGTGTCACCTACAGCATCTACGCCCAGGAGCAGCGGATCTCCATCACACCACGCCATATGCCCTGCGAATGCAAAGAATACGTCCCCGGCTCCAAGCGGATTCTTAAGGAGGGCGGCCTCAAGGCAACAGGCAAAGCCCTTCTGGTTGTCGAATGCTTATGCCCTGCTTTGCCCCCTCATCTCTGCTCAAGTCTTGAAGGTATGTATCGCCTTTAGAATCGCGAGCCTAGTGCGTCAGCCTCTCGTGCTCAACTGGACAGCCTAGCCAACTGCAGCACAGGTGCCATTTCATCTCGCGTGGCATCTGTCAATTTCGAGATCTCGACTCGAGCAAGCTCGCCCATTTTCTGCAACAGGGTGTCTGTGTTCACACACGATGCTGCAACTAGAGTCAGAAAGAACGCAAGAGCCATACCACATGCCTTCAAGAGCTACTAGCTGCTAACACTGCATTGAAGCGACACAAACCATGAAATAACAAAAGCTGGAAAACCAGAGAAATTGCCTACAGAGCCAAACCCCAACCTCCTCAATGGCTTCGATGTCCTTGATGGGCAAACGCAGCATCGGGAGATGGGTGTAGCCACAATTCCCGATGAGAAAGACGTGCTTGACAGGGCCATATGCAGGCTTCAAGCTGATGAGCGGCGGCGCGGCGTATGTCACCACGTTCAAAACGGATGCCATGGCTGACTGCTCTTTTGATGGACCTCGCCTGAGCAACAAGGCTCCAGACAAGCACAAGGTCTATGAGCCCACATACGAGCATCTTACCTTCATCACCTCTGCAAGAAGCCCACGACAGGAGATGAGATGAATTCCTTTGATCAACACAAAGTCTAAACAACTTCGCGCGCCCTCAATCCTTAAGCTCCGCCAAAGCGTGGCCCGGGCTGCCTCTGGCATCTCCTGAGCCAAGAAGGCGATGACTCGATCCTCGCGCGCACGGCGTGTTTGGGCAGTTGTTGGGAATGGCTTTGCGGCAGCACGGGCCCGATGGGGTTCTCTGCATGCTCCAAGGCTTGCGCACCCGTTTGCCGCTTGATATGCAAGAGGTTTAGAGTTCGGATTCTCCTGGTCGGGGCGAAATCTAATTCAAGCCCGTTCGTTGGGAGTGGAACCTGCTCGTTTTGCACTTGCAAGACCGGTCCCAAGCGAGGGCCTATGACCAGATGCCCCTTTAAGCCCGACAAACACGCAGACGCAAGCCGGGGGCAATTTTGCGAGTACCCTGCCGCACGGATTCGGCGACGTGGTCGTTCGCCGACGGGTCGGGGGCGCCACAGCGCCCAGGTTGGGTACCGTAATCTAGACACAAGAGTAACCTAGGAATAAAGAAGGGTGCCCTTTTTGGTTGAAAGGGGCTTATCAACAAGGGAACCCAAACCCCAAGAAAAGGGAATGAGGGCCTACTCTGGGTCCTAATAATTGGTCCTCAGGAGCGATGAGCTTTCAGACCTGGACTATGGTGGCGCTCAACCTGAACTCGAAGCTCGTACAGCCACTCAACCATTGAATCCTCTCGATCCTGAGCCTTTCTCTGAGCCTCGTTTGGGGCTTCCGAGTTGAGGGTTCAGCCTGGGACTTGCATCAGAACCTTTCACAGCACCCAAGCGTCTAGAGGGATACCTCACCGGGCTCTTGCCGGCTGCGGATCCTGAATTCCCGTGCTTGCCACTGACTTGCTAGGCTCCATGAGGGCGCAGCGTTTAGGGGACGGTTCGGGTTTCAGTGTGGCGTTGGATACGGTTCAGCCTTTAGGGTTTAAGGTTTAGGGTTTAGGTTTAGGGTTTAGGGTTTAGGGTTTAGGGTTTAGGGTTTAGGGTTTAGGGTTTAGGGTTTAGGGTTTAGGGTTTAGTGTTGAGGGTTTAGGGTTTAGGGTTTAGGGTTTAGGGTTTAGGGTTTGGGGTTTAGGGTTTAGGGTTTAGGGTTTAGGGTTTAGGGTTTAGGGTTTAGGGTTTAGGGTTTAGGGTTTAGGGTTTAGGGTTTAGGGTTTAGGGTTTAGGGTTTAGGGTTTAGGGTTTAGGGTTTAGGGTTGGGCTCAATAAAGGGCACATACCAGAGGGCTAGTGGTGGCAAGAGCGGCGGGCAAGCTCTTTGTACATGATGGCCTCTGCTACAAGCTATCTTTGCCTAGAAGCCCTGGATCTCAGAGAAACTTCCTCATGGCATATCTTAGTAGGGTTTAGGGTTTAGGGTTTAGGGTTTAGGGTTTAGGGTTTAGGGCGTAGGGTTTAGGGTTTAGGGTTTAGGGTTTAGGGTTTAGGGTTTAGGGTTTAGGGTTTAGGGTTTAGGGTTTAGGGTTAAGGGTTAAGGGTTTAGGAATTTGGGTTTGTGTCACCGAAGGAACGACTGAGAGCCAGGAGAGAAAGACTCGAAGTGAGCAGTTGCTGGAGAGGCTTTGCTTGCCTCTTTCACAGACACCATGCCCCTAACCTCTGAACAAGCTTGTGCCGGGCCGGGATCTTTTCGATACGGGTCTTACTAGGGTTTAGGGTTTAGGGTTTAGGGTTTAGGGCTTAGGGCTTAGGGCTTAGGGCTTAGGGCTTAGGGCTTAGGGCTTCAGGCTCTGGGATAAAGGATGATGAGGGGTGCAAACTTGGCTTTGAAGGGCAAGGGTCTAAACTGGGGCTCTGCACTCAACTTGCGAAACGGAGCTTTACGACAAGGGTCCAACCATACTGGAAAGGGCCACGGCTGTGCGGAGAGGCGTCTGGACTGTACTGCGGGGGGGGACCGGCCCGATGTATGACAGGGATCCCAACTTTCTCTGCGGAGGGCCAAGGTCTGTCACGGCCGGTGCGCACGAAGTAGCTTGAAGAAGCCCCTTTCTGTGTTGCCTTACAACCCCCCCGTGCTGCGCCTGCCACAGGTTCAATGTTGAAGCCGCACAAAGCCCCCAGGCAAAACTTGAGCGGAACCGCGTAGTTGTTCACTGAACAAGCCTTGAGTCCCCAGCAACTGAGCCCAGTCCGAGTCACGCCTGCTATATGTCGGATCGGCTGTAGCTGCCTGGCTGCGTCTTGGGTTTCAGGATTGGGCTGTCGGTAGGGCCTCAAGGTGTTGAGGGTCCAACGGAGGAAACAGCCCAAACCAGCATTTCGTATAAAAATCAAATTCAAGGCCTTGGTACTTAGCTGCTACTTCCCCTAAACCCTAAACCCTAAACCCTAAACAATGCCCTTAGACCCTTTGTTCCCTGAACTCCCTCAGCTCTCAAGCCTTTGTGTCCGGAATCCCCTCTGAAACTCACCCGAGTAGCTCGCATCATCCCCAAGGCGGCGGAGCTGCCTTCCGCTGCAAGGGAGGCTTGGGGTTTAGGGTTCAGGGTTTTAGGGCTTTGGGTTTTAGGGTTTAGGGTTTAGGGTTTAGGGTTTAGGGTTTAGGGTTTAGGGTTTAGGGTTTAGGGTTTAGGGTTTAGGGTTTAGGGTTTAGGGTTTAGGGTTTAGGGTTTAACGTTTAGGGTGTAGGGTTTGGGGGCATTGCATGGCCTATGTTACGCGCGTATCAGGATCAGAGTCTGGAGGTTGAATGCTTTCATGTTCTGGGCCTTGGCGGGCCCCGGGACTTGAGGCTGGGGATTGCTTGTGGGTTTGGCTGGCGACCCTGGGAGATTGATTTTGGGTCCAAGGTGACTGTTTTTTTCAGGGCTTGGGCTGCAGAGGCCTGAGAAGTTGGGCCTTGGGGCTTCGGGCTGTAGGGCTGGTTTCGGGCTTTAGGGTCGAGGCAGTCAGGGCGTTGGGCTTGAAGGCATTGCCTGGAAGCCCTACTTATCCGACTGCTAAGACGGACACACAGAAGCCGCAATGGACCTACATCGTCCAGAGAAAGAGAGCCTCAACCGCTAGGTAAGGCTGCCACCTGGGCATTGGGAGAGCCGGCCGGTCTCTACGGCGCAGAAGATAGCCACCACACATCGCGCCGGCGCCGCAGAACGCGCCTTGTTCAGGGCTCGGTGTTTGGCGGCGATGAGGCACAGGATTACACGGGCAACTGCAAAATTTGTCCGGGCTTGGCGTTGTCCTTACGGCGAACCCAAAACCCAAAACCCAAAACCCAAAACAAGGGCTTCAGGTAGTCATCTCCAACCGAGACCCGAACCTTCCAAAGACTTCAAGTCCACGACCATGAGCCAGAAATCCGCAAAAATCCGGAATTCTCTCCCTGCTCAAGCTTAAGCACAAGAGTAAACCCACGACAGACAAAGTTTCTGTCCTGGACCCACGATGAACTCGAAGATGATGGACCAGGCCTTCTGTCCCTGAGCAGGGCATCCGTTCTAGGCTTGTCTCCTATTTGGGGTTTGGGGTTTTGGGTTTTGGGTTTGGGGTTTTGGGTTTTGGGGTTTAGGGTTCCCAAAGCCCTGAATATCAAGTCGAGGCCTAAACCGAAAAAAAAAACTCTGCAACCCTTCATGCCCTGCAGCATGTTGCTGCCAGTCCTCGTAGTGGGTTACTGTAGATTTTTCTACAGGGCTGAGCTGACTGAGCTGACAGTGGTCTCGCACTGCCGCTTCCGCCTCAATGAGTATCATCAGCCTGATTGGACTTTTCACCACAAAGCCACGATGCGCCGTGTCCCATTTAACACAAAAGGTTTTTTATTCCTGTATGCTTTTGGGGCAATTGCGGTCAGTCAAAGGTTCCCTAGATACGCTGCAGCAATCCGTTGTAGATGTGGCCTCTGCCTAACAACCCGAGGGCTCCTAGGGCTCCTAGGGGGCGCTGATGCTTAGTTCCACAGATTGCAGGACGTGCTACCGAGGGCCTCCCGAATGCAGCGAAGGGGTCTCGTTTGATTTGAGGCTCTAGGGGTGAGATTGTGCTTTCTGAATGTCGGCTGGCCGTTCGCAACCGTTCCAAGGGGGTCGCATCGTTCGAGGGCGTACGCGACTATCCCGCATTTCCACATCGTGGATCCTCGCATGTAAAATGTACCAACAGTCACCTTGATCGTGCTTGTGGGCGTCGCTATCCTCGTAGCTGTCATCTTTGCAGGGTGCATCCTCGTGTTTTGGACTCTCGGCTGGTCGTGTGGTCCAGTGTGTCAAGAGATCTCAAGCGGTGTCAATGAGTCACAGGATATCACAGGGATGAGGCGGGGCTGATGTTCCTCACGGTGTCTTTCGTCTTGCGCCTCGTGCGTCGTGCTTCTGTGGTTGTATGTCTTTATCCTCGTGTTGTGACCTGGGGTTGTGTCTCGTGCCGTCTCTTCGTGCTCCTCGCTGCCGAGTCGTCTCCGTTTGGGGCTTCAGGCTCGCGAGATGCAGGTCTTGGAGCTGTATTTTCCCGAAGCCATCTTCAAGAACTCGCGTTTAGCGACAGCAATGGGCTACCCTCGGCTCCTACATGCCTGGAAGCCTTAAACCTGAATCCACAAGCGCGACTCCACAGACTCCGGAGGCAGGGCTTAAGAGATCTCAGTTGGGATGTTCCCCATTCTACCACCAGTCCTTAATAGGGATTCAATAGGGGGCACTGCAATCCCTATTAAGGACTGTTAGAAGAAGGGGGAATCTCCCAAGATCTCAGTGTCGATTTGAGGGCCCTCTCTGGACTTAGCCCCCGGCAGGCATAATCTCCCACCAGGATCGCTGGGAGCAACCTGCAGATCATTGCAACAGGGTTTAGGATTTAGGGTTTAGGGCTTGGGGTTTAGGGTTTAGGGTCTAGGGTTTAGGGTTTAGAGTTTAGGGTATAGTTTAGGGTTTAAGGTTTACAAACCCCCGATTAAATCCACAACCTCAAAGCCCAAAGCTCGCCAGAACCGAAACCTTGTCTTTCCGGCAAAGGCCTGGCCCTTGGCGCTCTTCCGCGGTTTTGTCATATAAATTGGGATGTTCCCCCTTATACGAACAGTCCTTAGTAGGGATCATAATAGGGGGGTAGTAGAATCCTTACTGGGACTGCTAGCAGAAGGGGGGAACATCCCAACATAAAAAGTGGAGTCCAGTTCGTGACTGTGAGGTTCAGTGGTAAGGGCCAGGGGTTCGCAATCCGGGTTTGAGTCATTCTTGGATACGCAGAAGCTCTCTGCAGTCAGAACTCAGCCATCCAGGCTTCAGACGCTAACCCAGGATGTCAGGGTGACGAGGGGCGAGTGAGTGGCCTTTCGCAAACGAACGCGGGCATGACTACGTTTCGGTGCTCCGAAACCCCGCACCCAGCAGCTTTGAAAGCAGTCCCTGGCCCCACATGACAGCACTCTTGCAACCTACTCAGCCGGAAGCCTAAATAGCCGGAAGCCTAAATAACACGGACAAACCTGCGATGCCTCCCCTACAACCCCTCAAAGCCCCAAATATCCTGCAACTCCCCGAGGCCCCTAAGGGCGTGCCTGAAGGTGGCTTCATCGTGGTACTGCTGGAGCCGCACTTTCCCTCAACGCACTTGGCGGTGGCCTGGAGAAGAGCGGAAGGTTGCAGGTAAAGGACCCTAAACCCTAAGCCTTAAGCCCTTAGCCCCAAGCCCCAAGCCCCAAGCCCTAAGCCCTAAACCCTAAACCCTAAACCCCAAACCCTGAACCCTAAACCCTAAACCCTCAACCCTAAACCTGACACTCTAAAGAATTGAAAAAAAATCCGAAAAAGACGGCGGTGAGGTTCCTAAGGTTCCTGGTAAGCTTCCGGTACAAGAAGGTTTAGGGTTTAGGGTTTAGGGTTTAGGGCTTAGGGTTTAGGGTTTAGGGTTTAGGGTTACTTCCTCAGCCTTCTCGCTTCGGTGCCTCGGCCCGGGCCTCCCCCTTCCCTACGAGGTGCTAGAAACTCTGGGGCAGGGGCGTCGCAGCATTCGCTCCCACAGAGCTTCATGCCCGCTTCGCAGCAAGTGTACTGGCATTTCTTCGCCTGAAGATGTGTGCCACTACACACAGCTCCGAGCTCCTCTACGAGTCCCGACCCAGAATACTAATAACTACTGGCTATAGCTGTCAGCACCCTTACGGCATGCGCATGTCCATAGGGTTGAACTCAGAGGTGTCCTTCGTTGGCTAAAGTAGCCGGCTTGGGAATTGAAGGATCTAAGCTGAAGCAAGACTTCTCACAACCTCAACACGAGCCCCACGGCGGTTGCCAGGGTTCCGGGTTCTGTCCCGGGTTTCCGGGGTCTCTCGGGCGGCATTGAAAGCTCTGAAAGTCTCAGAAAACGGCTTTACGCCCCTTCGATTTTTCTCGTGATGTGGCACGCATCCTAAAGTCCTAAAGCCCCAAAGGGGAAGGAGCAAGAGCGCTCCCAAAAGAGCCTCCCCAAAAATTCAGCTTCAACAAACAACAAAAAGAAAACAAGAACAAAAGGACTCCACACCTCCACGCACACGGCGGCCGCCGAGCCGAAGAGGAGAGTGTCATTGGTGGGGCAGCAGCAGTGCTCGGCATCCTACACAGGGGGGGGGGGGGGGGGGGGGGGGGGGCTGTTCACACCTTCAGAGTTCAAGGACTGAAGGTCACCGTTTCAGGGAGAAGTGTACTCAAGACTTCCGGGCTACAGGTAGGAGCTCAGGTTGCGCAGGGCTTTTTGGACTTCCACTCGGGCGCCTCGCGATTTTTCACGCCCTTGGAAGTCGACGTGTTGCAGCACTTGAAGCCATCGGCGCAATCGCAAGGATTTGCCACACCTCGCGGCGCCGTCGTCGAGGAAATTTACAGCTTGGAAGACAAAAAATGAGAGAACACCACATCAACAAACTCAGAAAACGGGCAACAGGCAACAGAAAGCAGTAGCAACGAAATCAGCAATTTCATAAATGAACAACAGAAACGTAGCAACACAAAGGAATGTCAAAGTTACGTACGAGTTGGCAAAAATGTTACAACAAACCCAGCTACCATACGTGATTGTCGGTACCGTGTGGCCTTTGAGCTTCAGGTCTGGCGCGTGCACATCCCGATTGCGCTCTGAGCAGACATGCCTCCTAAACCCTCTGAAAGCCTCTCCAAAACCTCCCATCACTGCTTGCACGCAGGGTGGCTGGTGCACTGAAAAGCCTGCGGGATATCGCTGATGGCCACGGCAGTGGCGGTTACCATCAGCCATCCCAGGAGGCCGTGCATGGCGAGGCACTACTCGCGAGCTCTGCACCAATGGGGCCGAATGGCTGCAGCAAAAAGTGTCTTAGACTTTCGGGTTTTCGGGCCCTGCCCATATTGGTCGAGTAGCGCCTGCAGGCCTGGCGCAAGGCATTTCATTGCTACTTACGTGTCGTGCTGGCTTGTCACCCCAGGTGCGACAGCTCAGGATACAAGCAGCAGCACTTCTGCTGTTGAAGCAATGAGATGAGAAACCCCCTAAACCCCCGACCCTGAATCTTCGGCTCCTGCGCATGCGCCGCGGCGGCGTGCCATGCGGTCCATCCTGCAAGGGGGCATCCAGGCCTGTTGACCGCGCGGCTATCCCCTTGAGTTGGTCCAGACATGGTGCCCAAAATGTCGAGATGTGGCTCTGCAGTCTGCTATGCAAATGGCAATGATGGCGGTGCCAACTGGAAGGCAACGTTATTGCCACAGGAACAAACACCTTTTGCACAACACCACGTCAATGGACACAGCCTGCATTCTCTCGCCCAATAAGTGTTCATTTTTTGGGGCTTGAGGCCAAAGAAGCACACGTCCTAAACCCTAAACCCTGAACCCTATACCCTAAACCCTAAACCCTAAACCCTAAACTCGAACGCCCGTCTTGCAGAAAGCGTACGAGTCGGTTTCCTGTGTGAAGTTCCCCAGGTGACTTTCGGGGGACCAGAAGCCCGCCAGGGATTGGTTTGGGGGTTTACGAAAAAGGGTGCCCCTAATATAGACCCCCAAATAGTAGGATCCCTAAACCATAAGCCCTAAACCTTCAAACCCTCAAACCCTCAAACCCTCAAACCCTCAAACCCTCAAACCCTCAAACCCTCAAACCCTCAAACCCTCAAACCCTCAAACCCTCAAACCCTCAAACCCGCAAACCCTCAAACCCTCAAACCCTCAAACCCTCAAACCCTCAAACCCTCAAACCCTCAAACCCTCAAACCCTCAAACCCTCAAACCCTCAAACCCTCAAACCCTCAAACCCTCAACCCTAAACCCTAAACCCTACTTTAAAAAAAAAGGAACCCCAAGAAGGTACCCCCGAAAACCGTAACCTCCACTTGCTTTGTCGGGGTGTTGAGGCCTCGAAGAGCCGATGAGCTGGTTCCAGCACCAACGGCGAGCAGCTCCTGGGCTTCGGGGGCTCTGAGGGGTTTCGGGTTTAGGGTTTAGGGTTTAGGGTTTCGGGTTCAGGGTTCAGGGTTCAGGGTTTAGGGTTCAGGGTTAGGGTTTAGGGTTCAGGGTTCAGGGTTCAGGGTTCAGGGTTCAGGGTTCAGGGTTTAGGGTTTAGGGTTTAGGGTTTAGGGTTTAGGGTTTAGGGTTTGGGGTCTAGTCTAAGGGTAGTTACATGGTCCCTTAGTATGGGCCTTTTAAAGGATAACCCTTATATACCCCTGATATACCCTGCACAAATTAAGGGCCCATACATCTGAACCCATGAAAGGAGGTAAGGGACCACATTTAGGGCCCATGCAACTACCCTTACATATAGGATTCAGGGTTTTGGGTTTAGGGTTAGGGTTTAGGGTTAGGGTTTAGGGTTTAAAGTTTCGGGGTGTTGCCGGTGCCCATGTGTAAGGGTCAAATCCTTCCCCGGAAAACCGCGAAGGAAACAATCCATCAACCCCGGAAGGGCTGTGGAAACTCTAGGTGCGGAGCCCGCTTTCGGACAGCTGTTGTGGCTCCGTAGCCGCTACGCAGATTAGCTGTACTTCAACCCCAGTGCACTCATTAAGAGCCCAGGAGGGGTCCTTGACAGTTCTGACCTCCCCCCATGCTGCGGCTCTAAGCAGCTCCTCTCGCTGGCAGTCCTGGCGGCAGATCTTCACTGCTGCTTTTCCGGCTTTAGGGTTTAGGGTTTAGGGTTGAGGGTTTAGGGTTTAGGCCTTAGGAAGTTTTGGGTTTAGGCTTTAGGGGTTACAAACCCGGGCATTGTGGCCTGGAGTCTAAAATCGCTCGCGCCTAAAAGTCTGACGATGTCTTATTGGCTCGGCCGGTCGGAAGCGTGAACACTTAAACCCACAAACCACGCTGATTTCAAGACGTCTGCGACAGCCTGCATGTTGCCTTTCTCGGGGGTCTCTGGGATATCAGGTATTTTGGGGTGGGGTGAGCGATTTGGAGTTTGGTCCAACTCTGCACCCCCCCCCCTCCCCAAAGCTGCCGTGCACCCTGTAACCCTGAACCCCCTAAACCCTAAACCCTAAACCCCAAACCCTAAACCCAAAACCCTGCTTCCTGGCTGGTGGGGTAGCCCGCGCTGGGCATCGTGGAGTCGCTCGCCAGGATCGCTGCAACCTCTTCGGATCCGAGCAGGGCACACGCTTTCAAGGGTTTAGGGTTTAGGGTTTAGGGTTCAGGGTTTAGGGTTTAGGGTTTAGGGTTTAGGGTCTAGGGTTTAGGGTTTAGGGGGGTTTAGGGCCTCCTTTCAAAAGAGGGGACCTTCTGGGTTCCTCAAGTTCCCTGAATCCCAAGAGAATAACCTGGGGCATTTCCAAAAATAGCGGGGGTACCCCTAAAATGCCCCAAACTAGTAGAATCCTTATCATAGGTACCCCCAAAAGGGTAGCCCCTGTTCTCGGAATCCCCCACCTAAAATTAAGGCAGCTCCCATGGTCAAACCCCTAAATCCTACACCCTAAACCCTAAACAAGCCTAAACCCTAAACCCTAAACCGGCCTTCTGCATCTCGTCGTTGAGGCGCGAGCGCAGCAGCTGCCTCTCCTGGTGGAGCTCTGGCGGCTTCTGGGGTTCACGGCTTGGGCCTAAAGCCTTTGAGGCTTCAAAGCGTGACTTCAGGGTATTTAAGTCGGGCCTGCTTACAAGTTTCGGGGTTAGAGTTTGAGGCTCGAGGTTCAACACTCAGACTCGGCGCTGCCCATTGAAGCCCAAAGCTTTCACCCGGCCTTACCTGGCCCGGCATTCTGTGAGAGCTCAGCTCCGTAAAACCGCAAAGGAACCCGGAACAACTTACTCATGAACCCCCGCACAAGGACCCTAAACCCTAAACCCCACCTGAGCGAAGGAGCTGCTCGCTGGTTCGTGGCTGGGAAGAGGGGGCCTCACTTCCATGGAGGTTGGAATTGGGTAGAGGGTAGAGGGTAGAGGGTAGAGGGTAGAGGGTAGAGGGTAGAGGGTAGAGGGTAGAGGGTAGAGGGTAGAGGGTAGAGGGGTAGAGGGTAGAGGGTTGAGGGTTGAGGGTTGAGGGTTGAGGGTTTAGGGTTTAGGGTTTAGGGTTTAGGGTTTAGGGTTTAGGGCGTGGTTGTGATTAGTTTTCAGGCTGTCCGGGTTGAGCGCCTCATGTCTGCTATGGACTAGTGCGCCCCTGCCTTCGCTCTTCATGTGCTCGGGCCTTCTGGGCTCCGAACTCTTTGTGCTTTTTGAGAGGAGGCTTTGGGGATAGGGTTTCGGACGTAGGGTTTGAAGGTCTGGAGACTCTAGGTTTAGGGTTTTGGGGCGTGTGAGGGCTCTGGCGTTTAGGGTGTCGGGTTCTTAGGTATTGGCTTGGTAGGGTTTGGGGGCGAGTCTGGGGTGGGCCTCCTTTCTGATCCGTTCGCTTGCGCTTGCGTGACCTGCCTGTTGGGCGCAGCGGCTGGAGGGTCTGTGACGGGTTTCGGCTATGCGTGTTCAGGGTTTAGGGTTTAGGGTTTAGGGTTTAGGGTTTCGGGTTTAGGGTTTAGGGCTCAGGGTTTAGGGTTTAGGGTTTAGGGTTAGGGTTTAGGGTTTAGAGGTTTCGGCCTGAGCCCCCGGCGGAGGCCGGCGCTGGAGAGGGGCCGCCATCGCTGACGGCGTCGAGGCCTGAGCTCTCTGCTTCGGCAAGGGGACTGGGCCTCAACGGATTAGGGATTAGGGTTTAGGGTTTAGGGTTTCAGGTTTCAGGGTTTGGGGTTTCAGGGGGTTTTAGGGTTTAGGGTTGGGGGTTGAGGATGTAGGGTTTTAGGCTGATGCTTCTACCCCATCCAACGAAGCACTCCATGTGCCGGGATGTTATAAGAATCGCTATGAGCGGCTGCCACAACTCCTTGCTTGTGTTTGGGTTTTGGTTTTCGAGGGCAACGATGATGAGCTGCCCTCGAATATACCGGACGCTCCTGCGCCTGAGGCGACGACTGCCAGGCCTCCTCCGACCGCACCAGCGGACGCCTTAATCTGGAATCCAAGATTGGAAACCCAACCAACAAAAAAAACCGACAGCCGCTGCCCCTCTCACAGCCTCACAAGACAGAAGCCCTCATTCGTCAACCCCCGAAAATCCCCGAAACCAAATTGGCGTGTCCCATGCCCAGCCTCGCTCGGGTCGCCCATCAAGCAGGCCTGCAAGGCTTGTCTCAAGGGCCTTACCCCGCAGCATGCTGCAGGTAGGTTCTACTCAACGTCTCAGAAGGTATGAACCGAAGGAGTTGCAACCGCAAAGTATTGAGGGCTCACAGGTTTGACGGACGAACGGTGTGTGCGTGTATGGGACATCCACTATGTACACCTCGAAGTGTCATGGTCGCTCCGAGGAGTGGTGATGAGCATGGAGAAGAACACAAAAAGTCTGCTTAGCCTCTGCAATATCCTTCGTTCGATTCATAGAGATCGTCTAGATGGCATAAGATCATGCAAGAAGCGCAGTGGCATACCGTGTCTCTGGCAATGAATCCTAGGTGTGGTGAACTGTATTCCCGTTGAGGTGTTGGCTTATGCTTCCAACATTTCCATCAGGGTGGCCTCGTATCGCTTCACCAGCTCCTGCAACTGAGCCTGCGGCAGAATGCAGCTGCACCAGAAACAGGAATCCCTTCTACATCTTTGCTGATCCACCTTCGAGTCCGAAAATATTCAAAAACAGCTCAAGATCCACGACAAGGGCCCCTCGGCCCTAAACCCTAGACCCTAAACCCTAAACCCTTTATAAGGCCCTAACCTGCAATGCCCTCCTCACCTCACCGAGCTCGCTGAAGCGCACCCGGGCAAACTCTGCCGGAAGCAGCTCGTGGCGCACGATGCGCCTCCCAGGGGCTCAAGGTAGGTCTGCGAGAGTTTGGGGCTGGCCATGAAGGGTCACAAGGGTTTAGGGTTTAGGGTTTAGGGTTTAGGGTTTAGGGTTTAGGGTTTAGGGTTTAGGGTTTAGGGTTTAGGGTTTAGGGTTTAGGGTTTAGGGTTTAGGCACGGTTTAGGGTTTAGGGTTTAGGGTTTAGGGTTTAGGGTTTAGGGTTTAGGGTTTAGGGTTTAGGGTTTAGGGTTTAGGGTTTAGGGTTTAGGGTTTAGGGTTTAGGGTTTAGGGTTTAGGGTTCTCGGGGTGGAGTTAGGGGCAGGTTGAAGAAAATTCTCTGACGGGCATCTGCATCAGCTCTTGTGACCATGGCCTTGACATTCCGCGCTGCTTGCGGCCGCGCATTGTCTTGAGTTTCAACAGCTCCGCTTTTCTGCGTCGACCGGCTGCTTTCGGCCTTTGAAAACCTCCCCTGGAACAGTTGCTCCAACAGCGGACACCAAACCGCTGGCAGTCTCTGACCGTCACGCTCTGTGAAAGAAGTCGAAACGTTCAAGCGTGGCTGTCTCCCACTCGAGCAAGCGCTGCCCCAATACTTCTGCGTTGGCTCGGGAACTTTGTTTAGTGGTAGGTCAGGCAGGAGACGGCCTGAACCATGCAGGAACTCTTCATTCCTGCCTTCCCCCCCCCCTCCCCGTGTGAGTTTCAGCCCTGCATGCTCATACCTGTGACACAGAAGAGGTTTCAAAGCTTTACTGTGGCGTTTAGGGTGGGCTTCAGGAAGGTGCTGGGGGGTTGGGGTTTTGGTGTGTAGGGCTGAGGGTTTCAGGATTCAACGGAGCCAAGATCCTAACCCCGAAAGCCCCCGCAACTCCCCAAGCGCCTCAACCCTGGGATTCCATGTTCCGATGCAAAGTTGTGATGGGACTTTGGGGGGGTTGGGCTGCTTGGGGGTGATGGCGGCTTTGAGGCTTTGGTCCTGTGGGCCGTCATCTGTGCCTCGAGCCTCCACCCTGCTGGTCGATGTGCACGCGCACCTGGCGGAAGGCAAACTGGAACTGATCCCCAGGGCATGGAAGGGGATTCGTGCCTGGATACAGGGACCCAGGCTTAAAGGCAACCAGAGGCACCCAGAAGCCAACACCATTCAGCACCTTGGACCCCACGCCCTGAACCTTAGAACTGGAAATATTCATGAAGACTAAAGACCTAACACTGTGCAAAATAACTCAAAGCGCTTAACTGTCGACATTCAAGATCTCCATGTTTTCAGCGCTGTTCTCGAGTGCTGCCGGCAGGGGGTCTCGAGCTGAAGGAGTCTACAGCCGCCCCAAATCCCAAAAATCCCAAACTCTGCGTATCACTCAGAAGGAAGGAAAAACGACCCTAGATCTGTCCTTGAGACCTGACGGCTTCTGCCTGTAGGAAGCAGCGCTCTTGGCGCTTCCCAGGTCGAAGGCCCCGTGCACTCCAGGTGCTAAAACTACGCCCCCCCACTCTAAACCTTTTCGAGAGTTTAGGGTTTAGGGTTTAGGGTTTAGGGTTTAGGGTTTAGGGTTTAGGGTTTAGGGTTTAGGGTTTTAGGGTTTGGGGTCCTGCTCCTGTTCTGAGTTGAGGATTGAGTTCAGGTGCAGTCGGGGATCTCGCCTACTTTACACATCATTACGCTGCTGATGAACAACCCTGTCTCCAAGTCCTCAATTTCCGGATTGGACCGTTTAGAATAGAACAGCCATGCAGCCACGCCACAGACTTGAGCACCCTACAAGTAGCCCTGGGTAAACGCTTTGGTACGAGGTGGTCTTAGCACCGGAGCTTTCAAAACTGCGAGCAGAAGCACCTCAAGGCCCTGGTCAGTTGACTGAAAAGGCTAGATCTCCCCCCAGACAGCAGCAGCGCCGCTCTAATGACTCCCAGAAAGTAAGAGCAACCGAGAGATTGTATCGAATCTTATGCGACGGCCCCGTGCCGGGCACGTGGATTCTGAGCTCCAGCCCTGCGGGCAATAGGTGCTTTGCCGACATCCTACGGATCTGTGCATGACAGACATCATGCCCAGTCTAAAACATTGCGCCCTCTTACGCAGCCAACCAGCGATCCCAGTGTGGCCTAAAACGTTCAAGGGCCTGCCTCCCAGTCGTCATTGGCCAGCGCCGCCGCGCAGGATGCGCTTCGCCTTCACGGCCTTTAAGAAAACCCGTGGTGCCTTCTCCACCTGCGTCCGGAACTGGTCGAGGCAGTGCAGGTGGAACTCGTGGAGCCGGCGGTCCGGAGGCTGCGGCCCATGCTTGGCATAGGTCCCGCGCCAGTGGGCTGAGTCCCAGGACGACCAGGCAATCTTGAAGTCATCCTCCTCCGAGCCTTCGGTGCAGATTGCGAAGCCCGGCTTTGGGAGCTTCGCGCCTTCGCTGGAGTCCTTGGAGGAGTCCTTCGAGGCGCTCCGGCGCCCCCGGCAAATGCCCATCTTCTTGACGGTCGGCAAAGGAACATCGAATTCAGGAAAAGCCTCGAGGGCTTTCAGTACGTGCCCCCTGCCTGGCTCTGCTTCTGCGTGGACTTTCCGGGAGCTTGTGCCGCAACCCATGGCTCTTCCAGGGCACCGCAATAAGCACGGAGACCCTGAAAGCGACGTCCGCTTATCGAAACGCAAGTCGAACAAGGGCTGTTTTGGGAAGGCCTTGACTCCAAGCCCATATATCCGATGAGCCTTGCTGACCTCTATGCCCAAGCCATCCTACATGTCGTACCCCTCATGCTCTACAATCCCATCTAGACTTCTGCTCCCCGGCATCCCATCACCTGCTATGGGCCGCAAGCTGCAAGGCGCTGGGTTGAGCGATGACAGCCGACAAATGGTCCGAGGAGCGAGGTCCATGAAAGCTCAAGCCCGCATGGTGCGCGGGCGCGCATGTGCTTGCACGCAATCTATCTCCTACCTCGACCAGTATCTTCTGTTCCGTCGCTTCAGGTGCTAGACTTAGATGTGATGTTGTGTGCCGGCGCTTCCTTGGATTCATCCCCGAACAAACATCGCGAGGAAACCCCAAAGCACGCGCCGGGCTGGCAATGAAGTCCAGAACACTGGAGAGGTCCGCTCGCAAGCTTAGAAGCTTCTCGTCCTCCACTCCAAGACCCTAACAACAAAAAGCAAACCTCGAGAACACGGAGACTGGACAAGGTTGAGAAGCCAGGGATGGGATCAAGGGCAGGAGCACAAAGCGTTGCAACCCGAACTGAGCGTTCATGCGGGTTTGGGCTTGGAGCTAAGAGCTGAACACGCGAATGGAGGGTTCGGTTCTGGGAAGAAGTGGAATCATGGATTCGCTGCCGAAGCGGCTGGACATTTGCACAGGCCTCAATTTCTGAAAACTTTGGAAAGGGTTCCGCCGATCCACAAGCCATGGACGCCGTAACAGCGCGTAATTCTGCAACCTCGAACCTCCGATCTCCATAAACCTCACCAGAGTGTCCTGCGCCCGGGCGTCCAGCTTCAGGGCCTCGATCCGCTGCCTCTGCTCCACCAAGACCTCGCAGCTCTTCGGAAGCCGGAGCCCCGAAAAACTCCTAAACCCGCCTGAACCCACAACAGCTCCATGAATAACCCCTCATCGGACTTGGAGGTCGGACTCAAACAGGCAGAAAGGAGGCGCCTGGTTGGCAAATTTGCCTCCTACCCGCAAGGGCCTTCACAAGCCTCTGCCTTGCTGCTGGTTACTAGGAAATGAGGGAAATGAGGGACCCTATATAATCTCTTAACAGGTATATATAGGGGGATACAGGGTACCTCACAAACCCTCATTCCCTAATAACCAGCTGTTCGGTCCCACGCCTCTTCCGCCACTTCTTCAGACACGTGGCCTTTGGACCGCCTCCGAAGGGAAGGCGACATGTGGTGATGGAGGTTCAGAATCGCACGCAACCCTGAACCCTAAACCCTAAACCCTAAACCATAAACCCTAAACCCTAAACCCTAAACTTTCGGGGTTGGAGGCGGTCTGCAAGGCCCGGCTTCAGGAGAAAGCGCGCGTGCTTTTGGAAACTTCTTGGGGATCGAAACCCCTCAACGGCAGCAGAACTGCCGGGCCCAGTGCTCCGCTGTGTTAAATTCTGGTTGAGGGTTTAGGGTTTAGGGTTTTAGGGTTTAGGGTTTAGGGTTCTTCAGGGTTTATAGGGTTGAGGGTTTAGGGTTCTGCAATGTGCGTGGGAGCTTTGCGGGTCAGGGTGTGTGTGGCCTGATGGCATTGGGGCTCAGAATTGTCCTGCCTCAATGCTTCCAGGTCCACGCTGGTCTCCTCACCAGCTGTACCACCCCGAAAGTTTGTGTGGCTTGGGGCTTCTCAGCCCAAATCTCCATTGATGCTTTAGGGCATCTCAGCCAGGGGGGGGAGCCAGTTGCGAGAGACATCTGTCCGAGCAGCAGCCGCCCCAATTGCAACGGCTTAAACTGGTTTTGCATGCTGATGCACACCACCAGTGCTTGATCTCTTGCAGAATTGAAGTGTTCTAAGCTGCTTGGAATTAGGAGCTTGGCTTTTGAAAGTAGAGGAGGACCACAAAGCCAGAGGACCAAGACCGCAGGACCTCAGCACTCGAGGCCCACAGGAGGGTAGGACCAGCCAGAAGTCCACCACCTGGGAAATAAAGCCCCGCCAGACACAGGAAAAGACAGTGCCAAACCTTCAGGGCATCCCCTTCCCCATGTTTGCTGCTCTCCGGGGGACCGTTTGCACCCTGCGCCCTGCTTGCCTCAGACCCTCCGGAGAACCGTTCAGTCCTTGGCCAGGCACTGGGCCACTTCATGGCTTTGCCGGCGTGACTCGTACCTTCACAAGTTGACATGAAAATGAACACCAAATGCTGGAACCCTCTGCGGGGGTTTGCTGTCGCTTTCCCCTGGATAACCCACATGGCTTTCACCGCAACTCGGCAGGGCGTGCAATCGCCAGCTTCGTGCAAGGCCATCTTCCGCCCACATGGCCGCCTCGGGCAGTGCTGGCGGCTTCGTGAGGCTTGAGAGAGAAAGTCAGAACGAGCTTATATTCAAAATTCACACTTCTCTAGGCACTCTCCCAACCTCTGAACCTTGGGGAGACGTACCGTAGCGGCCTGAACAATTAGAATGGGGTGTTGCAGGGTATTATAGCACGATAATAGAGGTACAAGAAGAGGAATACTATTGGAATCTTTCCGACCCCAAGAGTAGACCTTGTGACTTTGCATAGTCGGGATCTGGCCTGAAGCAGCTGCTGCTTTGGGTATTTCGTTCACTTAAAGGGCAAATGAATATGTTCATGCGTGTCCTTATACTACTATTAGTTGGCCCTTTAATGATCTCTTCATAGAAGTGTTACATTTGGGACGAATTCATTCAGTCCTATCTCTCGAGGAATTCCTTCTAAAGGTGAGCGGAGTGAACAACAATAATAAATTCATAGGCTTCGTTCTCGTTTATCCCGCGCTCTGTTATTATTGTTATTATCTTATTATGCGCGCGGGAAATGATTGAACGAATGAACTTAATAAACGAACGAATACAACTAATGAAAGGGTGTTCGCTTCTCTTCATACTCAGATGCAGGGACACAACCTTCCTCGCGATCACTCCTGTTAATAGGAAGCATGCGGAAGACGCATTCCTTATAATGCGGCTTTCATGCAGCATAGGTCTAGGGCCTACTTCTTTTTCAATTCAAACCCCCGGCTATCAGACTTCAAGCTTAAGCAGCTTGAACCCCAAAACCACTGAACTTTTCACAGCTCCGAAAACTTCCATCTCCCCTAAGCCCTAGACCCTAAACCCCAAACCCTAAACCAAAAAAGAAAAGACTCTAGTCCCGAAACCCCAAAAGGCCACAGCAGCTTCCAAGGGCTCTGAAGGCTGCCTTGTCACCCTCCCGCCGCAGCTGCGCCGCTGCATCCCGGGCTTGCACCACTCCCACCTCATTTTGGGTTGTTGCTTGCTTAGGGTTTGGGGTTTAGGGTTTAGGGTTTAGGGTTTAGGGTTTAGGGTTTAGGGTTTAGGGTTTAGGGCTTAGGGCTTAGGGCTTAGGGCTTAGGGCTTAGGGCTTAGGGCTTAGGGCTTAGGGCTTAGGGCTTAGGGCTTAGGGCTTAGGGCTTAGGGCTTAGGGCTTAGGGCTTAGGGCTTAGGGCTTAGGGTTTAGGGTTTAGGGTTTAGGGTTTAGGGTTTAGGGTTTAGGGTTTAGGGTTTAGGGTTTAGGGTTTAGGGTTTAGGGTTTAGGGTTTAGGGTTTAGGGTTTAGGGTTTAGGGTTTAGGGTTTAGGGTTTTTTTTCTCCCCACCCTGGGTGTGGGGTTGTTAGATTTTAAGCTCAACTCTTCTCCTCGCCCGGAACTCTTCTCCTCGCCCGGAAGACGTCTCCTATGCAGTGCCCAACCCGCACAGTGTCCCTGGAATGCCCAATTCCAGAGTGTCCCTGGATTGCCCAACCCCAGAGTGTCCCTGGAATGCCCAACGCCAGAGTATCTCTGCCCAGACAGGGTGGGGATGTTCGAAGTACATTGTTTTTGAGGGGGGGGGGGGGGGGGGGGGGGAGGGGGCTTTAGGGTTTTGGGTTTAGGGTTTAGGTGACGGTGCAAGTCCCGTTCGACTATGAGTTGCGCGGCCGCTGCAGAAACTTCTTAGGGAACCCAGGCTCGAAAGGTGGACTCACATCGGTTGGTTTAGGGTTTACATAGGGCTTTGAACACGTGTGGGTTCAGGGCTTGGACTTGTAGGGTTGGGATTTCAGCCTTTTCTTTGGGTTGGGGGTCAAGGCAGCTCGGGGTTGGTTCCCAGATATTCGGAAGTCGCATTGGGAGAATCTTCCGAGCTCGAAGCCTCCAAACAAGGCACTTTGATCCTTCATAGACTGCAGGCGTTTCAAGTTGACAACATGTTTCGGAAAACATACCAAATATATACTAAACATATACCAAATATAGACTTAAATATAGACTAAATATATACTAAATATACACTAAATATATACTAAATATGTACTAAATATATACTGAATATATACTAAATATATACTGAATATATACAAGATATATACTGAATATATACAAGATATATACTGAATATATACTAAATATATACTGAATATATACTAAATATATACTGAATATATACTAAATATATACTGAATATACACTAAATGCCAGGACTTTGGGATATCCCAGGCGTCCGGGTTGGCTCGCAGGCCTGAAGCTCCTGTGGCTCCGTTCCCAGCGCTGCCAGCGCCTGCTGCAAGGCCTGGCCTGGGGTTTAGGGTTTAGGGTTTAGGGTTTAGGGTTTAGGGTTTAGGGTTTAGGGTTTAGGGGTTTAGGGTTTAGGGTTCAGGGTTTAGGGTTTAGGGTTTAGGGTTTAGGGTTTAGGGTTTAGGGTTTAGGGTTTAGGGTTTAGGGTTTAGGGTTTAGGGTTTAGGGTTAGGGTTTAGGGTGGAGATGCCATGGCAGGGTGGGGCATGCGACTCTCTCGTGCTATTTCACATGTTTTTGTTCGTTTTCGAAGGCTTCTTTTTTACCGAGGGATTCCTAGAGGGTGTCCGAGATAGGGTTTTGTCCTACAAGCTTTAGGTCTTGGGACACACCATCGGGCATCCTTCGGTAGAGGGTGTTCCTATGCTTCACAACCTTGTCTAGAGTCTACAAGCGTCCCAGATGGAGTATGCCTCCAGGTAAGTTTTCGAGAGCCTCTGCGAAACAGCTCGGCAAGGCAACGAGAATATATCTGAGAACGAATTTTTGGGTCAGCAGCAGATGCTCCCCGGTCTGAGGCAGAGGGCTGCGAGCTTCGTAGCCGTAGCGTTGAGAGTGCAGAGTTTGGGTCTTTGTGATGGCGAGCTTGCCTTCCAAGCCTGGGGAGGGGAGAGATCTTTGTAAGGATGCCCACATAGGCCTGGAGCCGGAAACTGCCCCAGCCCGGCTTCCCTAGCCCCCAGGGCCCCGGACTACGCTCGAAGCGGGCCTCAAGAAACAGAAACTTCCCCACAAAGTGCCCACAGCGCCGGCGTCATGGAGGGAGGCAAGAAGGGCATGTAGGACTGAAAGTGTGGTTGCTTCAGGGCTGAATTTTGAGAGGATGAGTGCTCTAAACCCTTCCACTCCATCGAACCAACGGGGGGGGGTCGCCCTTTTTAGGGTGCTTTCAGCTTCGCGCCTCGTAGTCGGAACGGAGCTGATTCACCAAGACCTTATGCAGGAGCACGCGGTCCTTGCGGGCGAAACCCTGAGTCCTACACTGCGCCATCCCGCACCAGGTTTGGGAACGCCTTACAGGGCCTACAAAAAACAAAGTTTATTGGACCCTCAAGGAACATGTCGAAACGCAGAAGGCCTTTAGCCCCAACTGCAAGTTACAGTACTTGCAAGTTGCAGAACCTGCTCAAGAGAGAAGAATGCGATCGGAAGCCGTACCGGTTCGCAAAAACATTTGTCGTGCAACACGAACCATCACAGCCACAACTGGTGGCTGGGGTGGGTTCTGATGCAAGACGGTGTGGTTCGCTTCCAACCAAAACCCCTAAGCCCTAACATCCACAATCGAAGACCCATGTGCCCCTCGCACCCTTGACCCCGCGTCCTCCAGATCCTCTAAGGAAAGCTCTTGCCTCAGCTGAGATTGCTGGGAAGCTGGGACTTATGGGACTTGGCTTGCAGGACTTTGGATTCTAGGGCTTCAGGGGCTTCAAGCCTCAGGGTTCAGAGCATAGGTACCAAAACAAGCCTAAATCCTACACGCGAATTTCGTCAAATTTTGCCTTAGCTTACAGCTCAAGCCCGAAGGAACGAACGCAGCGGCCTGAAGATTTTTGGGTTGGGGTTCACGGTCCTGATCTCAGGGCTGCTGTATTTGTAAGGATGAGAGTTTCGGGCTTTCGGGCTCAGAGTTTTCTGGAGCCCATGTGGCTAAGCTGCTCTTGGGAAGGGATGAACACTGAGCCCCCCTCTGTGTCCCCATGCCCCCAGCCCCCATATACTCCTGCCAGCCCTAAACCCTAAACCCTAAACCCTAAACCCTATTTTCGAGGTGCTCCGGTGCAGTGGCCGTCGATTCCGATGCCTTCAGGGCTGCAAGGATGGCCGCTCTTGTGGCTCTCTGGGGGGGAGTTTGGGAGGGTTAGCGAACCACGATTTCCAAACTCCACCACTACAAGCCCTCAAAAGGGTGACACAGGGTTACCAACCCCGCTGGTGTGGAAGTTTCCTGTTAAGAATCTATATCCCCATAATTCCCCAGCACAAAACTCATCAAGACCCGGCGAGCCATCTTTTTACAGAACAGGCAAGCCGCAGCCAGAAGTGAGAGACATCAAAAAAGTTCGGCCTCCACACGCAAAGGTCCCATGGCGGCGTTCAGCCCCGCCAGGATCTGTACCAGAAGAGCTTTTCTGAGAACTTTGGAGGACGTTGCGGATTTTGGGGGCGTTTACACGTAGGGATGTGCAGGTCTTGACAATAGTGTCTAAGCTTAATTTCATGAAGCAGTTCTGCAGCACAGTCAGACCCTGACGAGCCATGAAGAGACTAGAGAAGCCCGAACCCTGAAGCCTTGAAGCTTCATTTAGCCCGTGAAGATAAGCACATGTATAGCACGATTTGGAGCGCCCTGAGCCTATAAGATTGATGCCTGTACACTGCAAGGCGTTGCGGTGCGAAATGCTTGCGCGATGTGTGGACCTTGTCCTTCCCTGAACCTTCAGCCCCGCACCCGAAAACGCCCCCAGGGCCTCCGCGACTGCGCCGGGCTCTGCCATCGCCACGTCCTCGCAACCGATCCGCGTCCCGCGTGCTCAGTGCCCTCCCTCCCCTCAAAGGTGAACCTTCCAGACTTTGTGCTGCTGTTGCGTATGCGGCTTCGCCGAACCCGAGTCCGACCCCGGGAACCCGAAACTACTCCCAAAGAAAAAGGGTTTAGGGTTTAGGGTTTAGGGTTGAGGGCTTAGGGTTTAGGGTTAGGGCTTAGGGTTTAGGGCTTTGAGTTTAGGGCTTAGGGCGTAGGGTTTAGGGTTTAAATGTGTGCAAGAAAAAACGCTCGACTCTCCCAACCCAAGGCCTTGTCCGGATCCTCCAGCGGCGGGCTGTCGATGGGAAGCTCCACTTCCTGACGGAGGAGCACTCTTTCGGTCTCCTTGGGGTTCTTCTTGGGTCTCTCCTTGGGGTTCTTCTTGGGATTCTTCTTGGGGTTCTTCTTGGGCTCTTCTTGGTGTTCTTCTTGGGTTCTTCTGAAAATCTTCCCTTCACGAAGAGGTGGACAGCACTCCCCACCCCCCTGAAGAGCCTCCAGCGACGCCATCGACCGCTCAAGGCCGCCCACCGCCGACATCATCGCAGCCAGCGCGGAGGCCACCTTCACGGGAGGAGCAAGGCTTTCGCAGCTCCAGGGGGCTGAAAAAGGGCTTAAGTCCTAAGCAGCTCAAGTGGAACTTTGGGACCCCTTTTGGGGGGCCCCCCTTTTGGGGGGCCCCTTTTGGGGGGCCCCTTTTGGGTGTTCAGAGAGCTTTCCAGCTAGTAGGCGTTCAGGCGGGGTGAGGCTGGAAGCTTCGATTCAGGGTTGCTAGGTCTTCCAACACGTCCACCCTGTGCTTGGTGGCGTAGAAAGTTGACTTCAAGACGGGCTACAGTAAACTCCACAAAGTTGAAACATCTGTCTCCCCATACCATACCCCAAAAGGTACACTCAAGGGAAGCCCACCTGCAATCATCCGTAATCCACGTTTCAACTGTCTGGAGTTTACTGTAAGTGGTCTTCTGTTAAACATCTCAAGGAAGCAGATTAAGGTTCACTTGGTTTCTATACAGATCAATGCAGAAACCAATAAATTTCAGTCAAAAACCTTGAGCGGCCTGCGAAGGCCCAAAGAAGTGTGCAAGGGGATGTTTGTAGAGGAAACTGGGAGGGATGTGGGGGCAGGCCAAGACAGGGACACAAAAGCGCGCAATTTCAGGCACATGGACGACAGTAAGTTCGAGGACGTCGTCAGCAGGCAGACCAGTAGAAGATTCGCAAAGACTCAATTCAAGGGACTGCCCAAGGGAAAGTTCGGTTCGAGGCAGCTTCTAGTGAAGGTTGAAGATCATAAAGGCCAAGAGAAGCTCCACTTGCAGATTGGGTCAAATGCCTGGGCCACAAGTAGATGGGAGGTCGAAGAAATATACTACCTTCGTGACATGCCTGGGCGAATTTCGAGGCAGGTTTCAAGAGAAGGCCGCGGACGGGTGAGACTCTCGAGTTTCTTTGAACATTCTTTCAACCTCTGCATAATCGAACCTTCCCACCTTCCCCAAACAAAATGTGTCTCTCGAACTTACCTCAGCCCTCCCGCGCTGTCGGGGTGAAAGCTTTGCAACGGCCTTGCCGGTCTTGACAAGCCAGCAAAAACGCTGTAAATAGCAGCGTTTGTGGCATCTTGCGCCTTGTTCCAGAAACGTCAAACATGCAGGATGTCGTATAGAGGAGCAACAACGCGGTAAACACCGGTGTTCTGGACCCCCCACCCCCTTCCCCCCCCCAAAGAAACACGAAAACCGGGTACGGTTTCACCGCCGCATGCCGAATACCATGGGTTTCCGAAAGCCACGAATGAAAAGTTCAGGCTGTTCAGGGCCTGGCCTGAGCCCGCATGCACATCTTCCGATGCCCGCCCCTGAAGCTCAAAAACTCCCAAAAAAAACAAGCACGAAAACGTCAAACCTCAAAACCCACACACATCCCGAAACCCCGTACCCCCCGGAACAAAAACACGCAAGGCAGGCAAGAAACACTGAACAAGAAGAAGTCCAGGCCTCGCCCGCACCGTCGAGCTGCAGGGCTTCCGAGCCCTACCCATTCGCGCGGGGCAGTCGGAGGCAGGTATACTGGTAGTGGAGCTTGGGGTCCAGGATGCATTTAGGGTTTAGGGTTTGGGGTTTAGGGTTTAGGGTTTAGGGTCTCGGGTTTCGGGTTTAGGGTTTAGGGTTTAGGGTTTAGGGTTTAGGGTTTAGGGTTTCGGGTTTACTAAACTCTAAACCCTAAACCCTAAACCCTATACCCAAACCCCCAGTGGATCTTAGCGCCCGCCTCTGCTGGCAAGCCGCTGTCAGCTTTGGACGACGCCTGGGAATCTCAGAGGCGCCCCCCAGAATTTGTTTGCCTGAAGTATGCTGCAGGGCTCTGTTGATAAGAGATGTACATGGGCATGGGGAGTCAGGACAGGTAGAGACGGTGGAGAGACTAGAATGGCTCAAATTCAGCACCTGTCGGCAGGAGTCATTTGCAGAATTCTGGGCTATGCTTAGGAGTCCTTCAAAATTCAGACCTGTGCGTTTCGGATACCTTGCCCTACGCGAAGCTGAAGGATCACCTCTATAGGACTGACATGGATGAACCGGAATGGATTGCCAGAGAGAAGCAACCATCTGTGGAAGGATCAGGGTTTTGCAGTTGTGGGGCAAGGTCGAGGGTATTCGTGGTGGAAATGGTCGAGCAACTGTGCCAAATCCTCCTGCAGCTCTGAGGAACAAGCGCTTGCCTCGTTGCTGCCGGGAGTGTCCTCAGCCGCGAACACGTTGAACAAAAACTCAAACGATGCTAAGAATGGACTGGCCTGGCTGAACAGCCCTTCGAATCTAGAGCCTTTACCTTTGCAAAGGATCACAGTGCCCACCTTCGCGACGTCATCTTTGGACGGGCTCGAGGCCTGGCAAGCTGCAAGATTCTCAGCAACTAGATCTGGGATAAACGGTTCCAGGCTCGTGGGACTTTGGTCGGGCTTCGGGCATTCCGAACAGACAGGCGTCATGCTCTTGCGAGCCTTTCGTAGGGTTTCTGTCATACAAAGGCAGGACTCGGCGTAAGTTCCGACCCAAGGACCGCTTTCGTGACTTGATGGCACAGTTGAAGCAGTTCGATGGAGCCGCCATCTTTAAACCTTCGCAAGTTCAAACCCGATGCTTGGATCTGCCTTGCGAACATGATGAGCACAGCTCCAGATGACAAGCAACACGCACACTCGCAGTCTTGAATGTTAAAGATGCAGTGTCTTGAATGTTAAGATATCTTTAAAACATCTCGAAGCTGTGTGAGCCTTGGGTTTGCGCTTCACTGCTGTACTCAGCGCATGCCATCAAAATTCGCCTGTCTTTCAAGCATCCTTGGGCTCACTTTGGCTTCTCCTTGTCTTTGTCCGGATAGAACCGCCCATTTTGGCTTAGGATGGTTCAGGGTCTTAAACTCCGTTCTGAAGTTGTAGCGAGAACCTGAAACCTCAGCTTGGGTGGTGCTGGTGCAGGTGATGGCGGCGGCTGCGTTTGCAAACTGTGGGTAAGCGTGCCCTTCTTTGAATGTCAATGAATGGTAAGGCAGACCTAACCTTTGCACAAAGAGAAGGTCCTACGAGTATTTCAGCTCTAGGTTATGCCCGCGACAACCTGGGAACTCCAATCACCTGTAGCTTCACTGGCCTCCAGCTCCTCAGAAGCCTTCGTGGCAGGTTCACCGGCCGGTGAGGTTCGAACCGCACTTATTCCTGTGGGTGCCCTGAAAACTCCAACCATAGACCTGCTGGGGGCTGCAGAGAGGGTTTTGGGAATTGGGATTTGGAGGAAAACCTTACACCCGCGGTATGGCAATTGGAAGACGGTGCACGCCCTACACCCTCAACCCTAAACCCTAAACCCTAGTACAGAGTCACGCATAAAGCTGACAAAGCCTTGACGCTGGCCTTCCAACTCCTCCCGACTTGGGAGCTTAGCGCTCAAGCGCGACTACCCTCAAACATCGTCCCAAGCATTGAAACACCCAAACCCTAAACCCTAAACCCTAAACCCAAATCCTAAACCCCTAAAGGGCTGATATCGTTGAGAACCTTCAGGGCTTGCACCAGTCATCCCTATGGGCCCCTGAGTCCCGGACTTCTGGATGGCGGGCTACTGCTCGCACCTCCCAAGGAACGAGTCTCGGGCCTCCAAAGCCTTCCCAAAGCCTTTGAACTTGCAACTTTTTGGATTTAGGGTTTAGGGTTTAGGGTTTAGGGTTTAGGGTTTACTGGCACTTAAGACTGCGCGACTTTGGCTTCTGGCTTCAGATCGCACAGCGGCTTCTTTCCCGAGGAGTTTGGTACCCGCAAACCGAACCCTCGGTGGGTTGGAACGAAACCCAAGCCCCGAAAGCACACTCAAGAGCCCAGACAATGCTGCCCAGGAAATTGCTCAGGAAGCGAGCTCTCTTGTTCTCCGAAGCGCTGTTGGATCGCATCTTCGCAAAGATCGCCCAAACGAGAAATCCAAAGGCACCACTCTCTGATAGGGCACAAGAGCTTTGAGCTTCAACCCTGTGATCCTAAGGCACTAAACTTGCTTCAATACCATACGCACTGACGGCTCGAAACCCTAAACTCTGAACTCTAGGTGACCTCTCCGAGTTGAAGGGCTTTGGGTAGGGCTTTTTACTATGTTTAGCCAAGTAGAGCTGATTTTCTGCACGGTTGTTGAGGATGCAGGATCTCGATCTGGGGTGTGACATGTAGAACTGCCTTCTTCGTCCTCGTGCCTCCCGGTCTACAGAGTCCTCCTAGGTCCTCTGGCCTCCTTCGTCATGTAGTTTCCTGCGGCAAAAGAGTGGCCCTGCTGTCCAAGGATTTCTCTTGGGGAGGCGCAGCCTCTCCTCACTGTGATACGATGGCAAGCAAGTGCTCGACAACTTTTTGTACATTGCCTCGGCCGGACAGCTTGCGCAAAACCCCTATTCACGAACTCACTGCAAGTAGTCCAACTTCCAACCCTGAAGACATAAAGTCTGATCGACATGAAAGGAATCTTCAAGCATCCCTAAACCTCAACTCGACGTGTTGCATGTCGGCTGGACGATTACACCTCCAAATGGACTTGATGCTGTCTGATAGGGGAGAGAGGTCCCGGAGGACAATGACGCACGCTCTCGGTTTATACAAGGCACGTGGCAACTGGTGCTATTGAGGTTCGCTGGTCAGTCGCTCACCAAATTGAGGATTCAGCGGCCGGCGGCCCAGCTCCCGGCCGCTCCCCCCCACAAATTGAGGCTTCAGCCGCCAAAGCTTCCAGCTGATGCTCGTTTTTGCTCGGTCGCTCGCACTCATGATGTTGGGCTTCATCCGCAACTCTGATGCTCAAGATGCTCGACCGCTTGTCTTCCAAGTTGAGGCTTCGGAAGCCATGTGGGCCAGCTGCTCATGATGTTCGGCCGCTCGGTGTACAAATTTTTGAGCTCACTTTGCAAAATTGAGGATTCAGCGGCCGAAGGGCCCAGCTGACGCTCATGATTACGAGCCGCCCACAACAAACCGAAGCTTCACCCGATGCTCATGATGCTCGGCCGTGTGCAAACGGAGGCTTCAGCGCCAAGGGGCCCAGCACACAATGAGGGCCCCTCGTCATACAACTTGAAGCTTCGGCCGCAGGAGCCACGAACTGACGCCCATAATGCTTGGCCCCCTTCAAAATTGAGGGTTTCGGGTTTAGGGTTTAGGGTTTAGGGTTTAGGGTTTAGGGTTTAGGGTTTAGGGTTTAGGGTTTAGGGTTAGGCTGCAGCCAAGTGGCCCAGCTGATGCTCATGATGTTCGGCCACTCACTCCTCCGAGCCTTCAGCCTCAAAAGCTGCCAGCTGGTGCTCATGATGCTTATGATGCTCGCCTTCCAGATTGAAGCCGCAGCGGCCACATTGCCCCAGCTGATGCTCATGATGCCCTGCAAATTGAGTTGCGTGCGAACCGCACCAGCTTCCAGCTGAGGCTCATAATGCTCGACCGCCCGTCTTAGTTCTGAAAATTCTGAGGCTTCAGCTGCAGCAGCTTCCAGCCTTGAAAACGTCCTGAAACCCTGAAGTCCCTAAGGCCCTGGAACCACTTGTGCGTTGGGAGCCACCCTCGAAACGCTTCAACAGGTCCAGAAGGGCATCATCCTGAGTGGCGCACTCATGAACGTGGGTGAGTGAGGCTTGACCCTTACCCTGCTGTTTCTGGAGTTGAGCACCCAGACCTATCCGAATCTACCGAGACCAGTCGCCAGCACTAAGGCTGCTCGACCAAAAGCAGGCTCGCAGTTGGGTGGCCTTTCGGGCCGGGCCCGCTTCGCTGTCACTGCGAAATTGTTGGCATTTGCAATTGACGGTTGCCTGGCTACATGGGTATTTCCTAAAATAGGGGTACCCCGCTTATACCCCAAATAGAATAGAACCCCCTGAAAAGGGACCCCCAAAAGGGGTACCCCTATTTTCGGAAACCCCCACATGGGGCGACTGACAAGGAACCCCCAAAATAACAAACCGCACAAAGTCGGCCCAGTGTCGTCGAAGAAGCCGCCCAGGCCCATCTCGCGGAGCTGATTCACCTGACGAGCAGGGATGCCCCCCGTTTTTTCCGTGTTTGGGGGCTTGGCGTTGGGTTCAGGTTTCCATCTTCCAGCCTGCAGAGGTCCCCGCGTGAAACTTTTCGACCACTGGGCCCAAAAAGAGGTAAGGAGCCCAGATGAGCCCTGAAAGCCTGGAAACTTCCTGGCGGTCCAAGTCGAGAGCAGCGTGGTTTCAAAAACAAGACATGCCACTGTGGTTATTTGAACTTGAAATTTCAAGTCAGGGTGTGGGGCCAGGGGTTCAAGAGTTCGAAGTCTGCTTTGAGCAAGCCACAGCGTCGCTTCTGAAAAATTCCACAGGTACGTCAAAAAACAATCGAAGTCTCGCAAACCCTCAACCCCCCAACCCTTGCACCATTTCAGGCCTGAAAAGCCTGCGACCTCAACCCCGAAACATGACGCTTGCGGTTGCGATCTGAGAGGCAACCCCCTCCAAACACATTCTGCCCAGCACCTCTACTCTGTGTCGGACGTGCTTTCTCAGTACCAGGATCGGCATTGTAGGGACGCATCTCAGTAAGAGGACATCAATCAAGGACTGCACCCCTCAAGTTGCAAAACCTTCCCAAAGAGAGAGACAGAGAGAAGAAACAGGGAACAGACCTGCGCCTTGAGAAGGGTCTGGGAGTCATCCACTGCCTGCAAGAATGGTGACGCAAGGTCAGATGCCTATGGGGGGATGTTGATGGGTTTTTGGGCGAGATGGGGAGACCCCAAATGAGTCCCTTATAACAAGGACCCCAATAAGGTACCCCGAATCTCGTAAGCCCCCCCTCTTGCTGCTGTCGTGATGTTCTGGGTGCCAACAAGCCCCCCCTGTCCTCGTGCTCAGAACTATCTGGCTGTCAGAAGCGTAAACAGCCACCCCCCCTAACCCTAACCCCTCAACCCCTCAACCCCTAAACCCTCAACCCTAAACCCGAAACCCTACACCCTAAGCCCTAAACCCTAAACCCTAAACCGTCCGGGAAGCCATGGGTTCGGGACGCGAGGGCTCGTCCTGAAGAGAGCTGGCCACGACGGGTACGGGAACAACCTGAGAGCACTCGAACCAAGTTTCGGGTTTAGGGGTTAGGGTTTAGGGGTTAGGGTTTAGGGGTTAGGGTTTAGGGTTTAGGGTACTTATAACCCACTTATAAGCCCAAATATGGTTACAAGTACCGTCCTCCAAGCAGGGTTTTTCAAAGGTGCTCAAGGGCTTGCTGATGATGGTTTCCTTTTCTTGCTTGGTTGCAAACCCTAGCCAACCGAAAACTCTTTCAGCTTTTCGGGCTTCAGGGTTTAGGATGTTCAGGGATTGGGTTTGAAGATGGCACGGCCACATTGAGGAAACAAGCTCGGAAGCAGCAAAGACAATGTCGGAGGCGGCCAGCGGGACTTACAGACTCAGAAAAAACAACCCTAAACCCTAAACCCTAAACCCTAAACCCTAAACCCTAAACCCTAAACCCTAAACCCTAAACCCCAAACCCCAAACCCCAAACCCTAAACCCTAAACCCTAAACCCTAAACCCAAAGCCAGAGACTCTCAGAGCCGGCCCGGGGCTTGGATGCAGGGTTGAGGTTGTAGGTTGTAGGCTTTAGGGTTGAGGGTTGAGGGTCTAGGTTTTCGGGTTTAGGGGTTAGGGCTTAGGTTTCATGTACAGAAGAACAAGGTTTGGCTGAAGATCTGTTTGCTTCGGCTTAGGGGCCAGGGTTAAGAGATGATTCGTTGAAGGGTTTAGAAGCCTACACCATCCTCTAAACTCGAGTTTGATTGGCACCTGCAGACGTGACAATGAAGTTTGTGGGAGAGTAGTTCCCGTTTCCCCCTCTGTGTCTTTCTGGCGTTCTGACTCCAGCCCTGATTCCCGACAATCCCCTTTCTGATGACTGTTGCCTGTTTCCTGAAAGTGGCTACTCAGGGTTTGAAGGATGTGGAGGAAGTTTGGGGGGGGGGGGGGCACTTACTAGTAGGCTTTTGGCTTGGTCAAAACCTATGGGGGGCGCGGGGGCGGGGGGCAGGAAACCCATGGGTTGGCGGTCCGGCGCCGGCCTGCTCGGCATGCTGCATGAAGCCAATGATCGTGGGAATGTTGTCTGCCGGGAACGCATGCTGAGCCACGAAGTCACGTGCCACCTGCGGTGGTAGCATTAAGTAGCACTATAGGGGCCCTCAAGGCAACCTGCAACTTGTGAATACTCGTGAGTCTCACAGCCTGTGACCGCCCCTCACTCTCGAGTTGCTCCTTGTGGCCATTAAAGGTACATGTTGAGTCTGGATTCCTTAAGAAGTTCGGTGGCTTGTGCTGCGCGACCAACCCAAGTCTTGGCTTGGAAGCTCTCCCCCGACCTTCTCGTGATCCTGGCCCTTGTGCCACGAGATCTCACAGCGGCGACCATCATCTAGCTCCTTGCACGACCAGCGTCGAAAGTTGGATCGAAGTTCAGGGGGTACACAAAAGGCCGGTTCATCCAGACTGGACTCTTGCTGTTTTTTCGATGGTTTTTCGCTGGCTCGAAGGCATCGAAGTCAGAATCCGGCTGACAAAGAGCGGAAGCTCGAAACTCTCCGAGGCCACCCGAAGCTTGAAAAGTGTGATGGTTCCGGTTTACGTCTTGCACCTCCCCCTGAACCTTAGGCAAAGCTGGTTCAGGCCCAGGGCCCAGGACCGAAACGATCCCGAAAACTTCAATCAGCAGGTCTCTGGGACACAAATGGCATTTTGCATCCTGCTAAGGGCTGCCAAGGCTCCACAGGGAACACGTAGGTCGGAGCCGTGGCAGCCATTGGCTTGGGGCCGGCAGCCTGCACTTTGCATTTTGTTTATTCTCTGTCTCTTGTCGACTCCTTCCTATTATTTTTCTTAATATTATTATTATTCTTCTTCTTCTTCTTTTTATTCTGCTTCTCCCTCTTCTTCTTCTTCTTCTTCTTCTTCTTCTTCTTCTTCTTCTTCTTCTTCTTCTTCTCCCTAGGAACCCCTCGCCCGAGTGCCCCAAAGTTCTCGGTCCAGGCGCGAGACTTCCCTTGACGGAAAGACCCCCTCCACCCACGATGCGTAAAGGCCATACCAAAACTGCACACTCCCCCCCAACCCCTAGACAAAGGACCTTCTTGATCCCAGCTGGGATTCTCGAGTGTGACACTGCCGACTTGGAAACTAATCCCTACTGGATTCGACATTGAATGACAGTCGTCGGTGTGTTACTTTCTTGCCCAGGGATCAATGACGGAAACCCCTCACTGTGCAAACACGAACCGCCTCGAACAAACCGACGCTGGAAACGGAATTACAGTGAAAGTCTGACCTCAAATGCAATTTCTCCCTCTACATCAAAGCAAGAGCCTCACTGCTCTCTCTCTCTCTCTCTTCTTCTTCTTCTTCTTATGAATATTTGTTCTACTTTTATTATTATTTTAATCTTCTTCTTCTTCTTCTTCTTCTTCTTCTTCTTCTTCTTCTTCTTCTTCTTCTTCTTCTTCTTCTTCTTCTTCTTCTTCTTCTTCTTCTTCTTCTTCTTCTTCTTCTTCTTCTTCTTCTTCTTCTTCTTCTTCTGCTGCTGCTGGACTTGGATTTAGGGTTGCAGTGGAATTGGAACATAGGGATTTAAGCTTCCGGGTTGGTAACACGAAACGGGCACCCGGAGGCCGTATCCAGGCGCAGACCTCTGCCAGCCTTCTGTGACAAGCTCTCCTCAAACCCGCCCCGAACATCCCAGCGGCCGTAGCTCTTCGGACCCTCAATTCCCAAACTGCTCCCTGAGCCCCCAAAATCCACCCTAAACCCTACACCCTCAAACCCCAAAATCCTGCAAAGCCTTCTAGGCGGGTGGTGGGCTCCGCCTGGGACAGCTCCATCTCGGGGGCGCTCGGCTGAGGCATCTCGGGCTCACAGGTCACCTGCTGGGGAAGGGGCTCGTTGAGCTGGCTGCTAGAGTCTGAGAGAGCTTTGCTTCAGAACTTCAGAACTGATGACACTTGCCCCGAAAATCTAAGGTTGAAAGCAAGCTTTGGTTGTGGGTGCTAAGCTGGAGTTGAGGAACCTCCGAGGCTTCCATTTTGGGGGGGGGGGGGGCTGCTTTGAGCTCCCAGGCGCCGGCTCTTGCGGCTCTTGCATGGGCTCGGGCACATCCGCGGACTCGGACTGCAGCTTGCGATGGCAATGCGGGCCATGCTTGTCCTTCCCCCCCTCCTGGCAGGCCCTGCCTTGGTTCAGCAGCCCTTCTGTTTGGGAACTGATACCCTTATGCCTATGCTTGGGTTCGTGCTTGGATACAATGGGATTTTTGTGGAAAAGGCAGTTCTGTGCGACACATCCAGGTTGCAGCAGTGCGTCTGGTGCCACGTCGCCTCGTAGACGCAGCCTTCCGTGCTACAGGGCCGCTTGGCGCCTTCCTTGTTCTCTTGCCGCTCGCGGCGCTTGCCGTGGCAAGGGCCGGTGCCCTTGCAGCCCTTGCCTTTGCCACCTTTGCAGCCTTTGCCTTTGCCGTGCTTGCCCTTTCCATGCAGGAAGGGCGCCCATGCCATCCATCCCAGCGATCCCTCACCCTCTGCAGCGAAGGTCTCCCAGAATGACGATGCGAAGCCTTGGGGATTGATGGGAATGCACTGGAAGTCTTGGTGCTCTGGGTGGACCTCGTGCCTCTTGGCGAAGCACTTGCCGCAGAGGTCGTAGTCTGGACAGCTAAGGCACTTGAAGCGCGGGCCCCTGAGAGGCGACATCTCGCAGCCATCACAGATGCATCGGCCATGTTCCAGAAGCTTCAGGATCATTGGGCTGAAGGGTTCCAGGGGTGCCAGTAGGTCCCCATGCTGCTCGAAGAAGGTCTTCAGAAGCTCCTGCTGCTTCGCTGGCTCCAGCTCGTTCAGGCTCTGCACCAGACACTGCAAGAAAAGGCCTGCGGCGGTCGGATTGTGTGGGCACTGTGCAAGTTCCGCAAGGTGTGCCTCGGCCTGCGCGAGGCCGTGGGCATTCAGCAGAGGTGCCAAGCTGGCCAGGGCCGCGTGGATGGAGGGAACGAAGGAAGGGAGATGGGCCAAGGCAGCCCAGAAGCCATGCCCCAGGTGCTCCGGGTCGCCTTCGACCAAGGGCAGCAACTCCGGCAGCTTCCAGGCCAGCACGCCGGCAAGGACTTCGGGCGTCAGGATGGACTGAAGGCGAGTCTGGTGCGTCTGCGGAGTCTGCGGGCATTCCGGTCCGGGCGCACCCGGCTGCTTCTCCTGGTGACAGGGCTTTCGCTCACAAGCTGGGCCATGCTGGCCGGACGTGGAACAGGCGTGGCAGCAGTGGGTCTCATGCCAGGTGACCTGAGCTGTTCCCGACAAGAACAAGGGCCCAAAGGGTTAAGCTTCCATTTCTCGAAACTGATCAACTGCGGCGGAGTGGCCGCATAGGGGCAGCCTTCTGTCGGGCATGGCCTGGACAACGCTGCCTCCTTGCCTTTGCTCTTGCTCTTGCCCTTGCCCTTGCCTGGGTCGAATTTTCACAAGCATACTTCATTGCAAGTGGGAAATGGACACACCGCTGAAAAGTTGCAGAAGCAAAGATGCCATCAGGGAGGCTTCAGGCAAACAGAGTCGCCAACATAAAAACAACGCTCTAAACCGTCTCCGAGCTGCACTTTCCCTTGCCTTTGCTTTTGCCCTTGAAGTCATGAAAGTCGTGGTGGGCCCATGCGTCCCAGTGGAAGGCATGATGAGGGTTCCAGTGGCCGTGAAAGGGATCAGCGAAGTGGCACCACCAGGGGTACCTTGGCACTCAGGCAAACAGGCTGCATATAGCCATATGGCTTAGCTGCAGCCTAAACCGTCTTGGGATCTTGGCAAACCTTCTATTCTTTCCTCAGATCCCTGCCCACTTAGTCCGCTTGTGCCATCTGGGGCCCCCTGCCAGTCATGCTGGCAGTGCTGCGGGCTCGGCTCGAAAGGCGTCTGCAAACCCTGGCAGCGCCATGTTTTTCACGGAGCGTTAAGGGAACACTCTTCCTTGCTCTGGGATCTGGGGATCCGAGGGATTTCTGAGGAAGCTGCCGCGCTTACGAATGGATGATCTTGACCTCTGACCATACCCGAGCTGGGCTGAAGGGATTGCTGAAGGGTTCAAAATTGAAGGTTTCGGGCCTGGGGCATCTTGAAGGTTCCTGTTGGAGTACTAGGCCCTGACTGCCATATGAATCGGCCTCCAGGGAAGGGGCGGTGTCTGACATCACCGAGGGCAAATCCGAATGAGTCACTGGAAGCCTCGGAGAAAAGTGGGAAAGCTTTGGGATGTGCCTTTGAGGTTCAAGCTTCAGGGGCTCTGCTCAAGCTAAACCCTAAACCCTAAACCCTAAACCATAAACCCTAAACCCTAAACCCCAAACTCCGCAAGAAACAAGTACAGCACCAAGTTGATCGGCTCTCGGGCTTTGAACGTACATCCTGAATGGGCAAACATCAGAAGCCTTCCAAGCCCTTAGCACCCACACCCACACACACACACACACACACACACACACACACACCCTCGTCCCCGAAGGCTCGATGATGTTAGAGTCACATCCGCCAGAGTTGATTCCCGTCACGCTCTCTCTCCATCATTTTTCCGGACGCAGGGGTTTCTGACAAGCCCCCTATGGTCCCCGAAGCGGGCAGCGCCCGGGCAAGGAGGGAGATACCTTCGCCAGGATGCAGACTTGGACTGTCCACCAGGTGCAGCTTCAGGATCAGCCGTCCATCCGCGGGTCCTGGCTGAGAGCCAGGTTGTCGGGTTTAGGGTTTAGGGTTTAGGGTTCAGGGTTCAGGGTTCAGGGTTCAGGGTTCAGGGTTTAGGGTTTAGGGTTTAGGGTTTAGGGTTTAGGGTTTAGGGTTTAGGGTTTAGGGTTTAGGGTGTCTGGGTGTCTGGGTGTCTGGGTGTCTGGGTGTCTGGGTGCCTACTTTAAGGTCTGGTGGGGGGGGGGGACATCGTTTTCGATCCCTCCGCTCCGGTTTCGACAAACAAGGGCGTCTCCACCAAAACGCAGCACAAGGCCCATCTTTCTGACAAAAACGGCTCGTTAGCTCATCTGGGCTAGAGTCGTAGGTCGCGCGGCTAACTCTCAGCTAGTGCCTTCAATGCCTCAATTACACACTGTTGATTGGGATTTGGAATGGGATTCTGGTTCAGACTCTGATGGATCGGAAGTGAATGTATTCCAACTTTACGCTGTTGCTACTTGTATTGGGACTCGCAATGTGTTGAGAATATGATAATTCTGGTATCTGTCTCAATCCCCCAAAGCAAAAAGGGCAAGTTCCACAGTGAGTGAAAAGCCCCAGAAAGCGGCCTGAGTTGTCATTCCCACCGCCTCGGTCAGGATGCGCATTGAGGGTTTCAATGGGTTTCAGGGGTTTAGGGTTCCGGGTGTTGGCTTGTGGTGGACTTTTCGAGTACTTGAAGTTTGGGGAACGAGTCCGCAGGAATCTAGGCGGGAGGAGTGTACAACTGAATACGACGTCAGTGCCTAAACCTTCCTCAAGCGAAACACCAAGGGTGGAAATGCATGACAAGGCGACATTCGTAGTCATTCCCCCTGTACCGGTTGACGCAGTCTTTCTGTTGCATACTCCATGTTATTTCTGCCAGATACTGCTGTCCAACTTATCCTTGCCAAACTGCAGAATACCTTCTGTTGTTTTATTTGAACTCTACCCCAGCTGCTCACCAACCAAAACTGGGGGTTTCCGAATGGGGGTACCTTCTTGGGGCCTTTGGGGGGTACCTGATTTCGTAAACCCCTAAACCCTAAACCCTAAACCCTAAATCCCAAACTCAAAACAGAAACCCTAAACTCTAAACCCTAAACTCTAAACCCTAAACCCTAAACCCTCCCTAAACCCTAAACCCAAATCGCAACATGACTCCCAGCCACCCCTCTTCGCCAGCTGCAGGAAGTCCGGAAACGAGGAGGCACAGAGGGTGCAGGCATCCCCTGGCAAGCGTCTAGGGGCTCCCTAAACCCTAAACCCTAAACCCTAAACCCTAAACCCTAAACCCTAAACCCTAAACCCTAAACCCTAAACCCTAAACCCTAAACCCTAAACCCTAAACTTTGCTTCACTAAGAGCCGCCGGGAGTCACGGGATGTCAGGAGAGGGCGTGCGTTGATTCTTGAAAGGTGCACACAGCGCTTGGAAGACCTCTGAAAGGCGTCTGTGCTTCGAACCGCGCAGGCTTGAAACTAAAGGACTGCATATACCCCAATACGCCCGAGTTCTTCGAGCATTCGTTGTAAAGCCTAAAGCTTTCCCCGGCCTTCGTCGTCGAGGTACTTCGGGACACACTCGCTCAGGTCCGGGTACAGCTTCGCCAGCGCTTCGGTCACGTGTTCATATGTCACGTCCTGCACATGAAGTAGGGCGTATATTTCTTGTACCCCCAAAAGGACACCATATATATATATATATATATATGTATATATTTATATTTATATTTGTTTATTTATTTATTTATATTTATATTTGTATTTATATCTATATTTACATATACTCACCAATGTTAAAAGGGAACCTTCTATACATATAAACCCTGCTTCACATCGGCCCGGCCACGCCTGTGCTTTCTGCACGTGACGCCATTGGTGCCCATTGACTGGGGTCGACGTGGTATATTTCATAGTTGCACTTCCAGGTTTAGGGTTTAGGGTTTAGGGTTTAGGGTTTAGGGTTTAGGGTTTAGGGTTTAGGGTTTAGGGTTTAGGGTTTAGGGTTTAGGTTTAGGGTTTAGGGTTTAGGGTTCGTTGGGTTGGGGGTGCCATGTTGAGGCACCCACCTGTCACTCCCGATCTTGCCAACTGACGACACGCTTAGCCGTCCTGTTCACTAGCTTCAAACACAGCAAAATGCAGGGTTATCCATGTTTCCACCTCCTGGGCAGTCTAGAACCATGTGACGAAAACTGCAGGTCATTGCATACTTGGACACAGTCATGTTAACGTCAACTTTTTCCTTGGCAGTGAATTTTGACAGACAGCAACCGGGACAACCGATGCGGCAACAAAGCTAACTAATATTTTCGGGGCAAGCTTTTTACCTTGAAATTGGGCTAGATATCTTGAGTGAGTGACGATAACGGCTTGCACTACGATCTCATGCTTGAAGTGAATAGAACAGACCTTATAGGATCATACCCTGACTACATTATTTCCCCAAGCTTACAATGCAAAACATGTGAACTGGGCTGGTTAGCTTGCTCGGAGCTCACTTTGCCTCCTACATAACATCTACTATTTTAACAAGTCGGGAATATTGGCAGCCCCACCCCAAATTGAACGTACAAACCATTCGGATGATTGAGTTAACATTGTGGGAGGTCAACGATCGTTGTATTCGGACAACCGATGCGCCGACAACCAACAGGCCCCAAATAGTTCCTGCTTGGAAAACTTCCAGCTCGGAGCCCAATAGCCCTTTGAACCACAAACCTTTCAACCACAAAGGTTCCGCCGTTGATTGAGGCCGCAAGTGCACAGGTCCTTTTTGGCATAGAGGCGTTGCTGTTGCTGAACAATGTGTTTGAGAGTGTTTCTGCGACACCACGAACGAAGAAGTGGCCTAGGAATACGCGCATTTTATGTTGTTTTACACGGGCTTGTGCCCGCTGCGTGTTGCGAATGGCATCTCAAGAAGTACGAATGTGAAAGGCAATCATTTTTCAGGCGCACTGGTTGGCACTATGACCACTGGCAGGCACTGGAAACATGGACGTACTTGTCGCGCGGGCATGCATGCTCTCGCCACCCGAAAGGCAACATTCCGCAGCGCCGTCAAACCCTAAACCCTAAACCCTGAACCCTAAACCCTAAACCCCAAGCCCCTCAGTGGACTGTGCGGAAAGCCCAAAGTTCTGAGTCCTCGAGGATGCAGCGCCTGACTTCGAATTGGTAGGTGACCTTCAAAATCAGGGCGAGGCAAGGCCAGATGCTTAAGCTGCTTAAAGAGCAGACAAGCCCCTGTTAAGATTATAAATACTACTACTATTACTAATCATTAATATTAATATTAATATTATTATTCTTATTATTCTTCTTCTTCTTATTCTTATTATTATTATTAGGGCCTCATTGGGTGTTGGGTGCTTCGACAAGCTTACATCACGAATCCTCAAGGCACAGGCACTGCTTCTAGAGTTTGGGCTCCAGGCCTACATCCTGTCGCACTGTGCTGCAAAGCATCGTCACACGAACCCAAATTCCAGGACAGTCACAAACCTGGAGAGAATGACTCTTGCCCCACCACCCCCCCCCATCCCCCCCAGCCAAGCCCTCACATTGCCAGAGAAGAGACGTGTAGAAAAACCCGAAGACCCACGGGGCCCCCCTCAACAAGGCCACAGTTTCCCAAAAAAAGACAGGAACACCCCATCCCGCCCTCCGGCCTTAAGGACTCCGGGCATGACCGTCAGAGAAGGTCCGCAAATACCTTGTTCAACTCGGTGCGTGAAACCACCCCGACTCGTCAGAACTCAAAGACCCTCCCCCCTACCCATGAACTCCTTGACTTGAACTTCGAGATTGCAAGCAGTTCGAGGTTGGGGGCCCTAACTTACAAAACGGAGGTGGGAGACTTCCGGGAGCTTTGTAAGGCTTTTAAAGGATTTGGGCTAAGTGCTACCCCTGAACCCCTGAACCCCTGAACCCCTGAACCCCTGAACCCCTGAACCCCTGAACCCCTGAACCCCTGAACCCCTGAACCCCTAAACCCCTAAACCCTAAACCCTATGTGCCAGGATGCTTCAAGCTCAGTCGGACAGGACAACGCCTTCCCAGACCATTCGAGCCGTCGAGTTGCGCGGCCGGGATGCTTGCAAGCTGCAAGCTTGAGACGACTGGCTTAGGTTGGGATCCCCCTCTACTAAGCCCTTAATAGGGATTATAGTACCCTGTATAGGTTTAGGTTGGGATGTTCCCCCTTATACTAAGTCCTTAATCGGAATTATAGTACCCTGTATAAGGGGGAACATCCCAAGGTTCGGGGTTTGACTGTGTGGCCTGGTTCAGCCTGGTTCGTTCGGTTAAGAGTTATGGGAGAAGTTTACGATGGCACGCAGACCTGCATGCTGGAACGCTCAAGATTCGCCTTGGCAACACACAGCCTCAAGACAATTCTCGAAGACACGTGGCCAGCCGCTCAAACGAAGAAGGCGGGCAAGCACTGATTGTACCGTCCACACAGGCCGTCAACACGCCGCTCAGATCGTCTTGGAAAGTTCACGTCCCGGCATGCACCGAGCCACTCGAACAAAGTAGGTAAGGATTTGTTGAGGTGTCCTCACAGGCTGACCACAGCACCACTTCCCGGAAAATGCCAGTTGCACAAGCAGAAACGTCTGCGTTCCAACAACAATGCCTCAGACCATCTTGGAAAGTTCACGTCCCAGCATTGGCCGAGCCACTCGAACAAAGTAGGTAAGGATTTGTTTGGGTGTCCTCACAGACCGTTCCCTGGAAGGGCGTGTCAAGATATGGACGACAACAACACCTCAGATCGTCTTGGAAAGTTCACGTCCCGGCATGCACCGAGCCACTCGAACAAAGTAGGTAAGGATTTGTTTAGGTGTCCTCACAGGCTGACCACAGCACCACTTCCCGGAAATTGCCGGTGGCACAATCAGAAACATCTGCTTTCCAACTACAATGCCTCAGACCATCTTGGAAAGTTCACGTCCCAGCATTGGCCGAGCCACTCGAACAAAGTAGGTAAGGATTTGTTTGGGTGTCCTCACAGGCCGTTCCCTGGAAGGGCGTGTCAAGATATGGACGACAACAACACCTCAGATCGTCTTGGAAAGTTCACGTCCCGGCATGCACCGAGCCACTCGAACAAAGTAGGTAAGGATTTGTTGAGGTGTCCTCACAGGCTGACCACAGCACCACTTGCCGGAAATTGCCAGTTGCACAATCAGAAACATCTGCTTTCCAACTACAATGCCTCAGACCATCTTGGAAAGTTCACGTCCCGGCATTGGCCGAGCCACTCGAACAAAGTAGGTAAGGATCTGTTTGGGTGTCCTCACAGGCCGTTCCCTGGAAGGGCGTGTCAAGATATGGACGACAACAACACCTCAGATCGTCTTGGAAAGTTCACGTCCCGGCATGCACCGAGCCACTCGAACAAAGTAGGTAAGGATTTGTTTAGGTGTCCTCACAGGCTGACCACAGCACCACTTCCCGGAAATTGCCAGTTGCACAATCAGAAACATCTGCTTTCCAACTACAATGCCTCAGACCATCTTGGAAAGTTCACGTCCCGGCATTGGCCGAGCCACTCGAACAAAGTAGGTAAGGATTTGTTTGGGTGTCCTCACAGGCCGTTCCCTGGAAGGGCGTGTCAAGATATGGACGACAACAACACCTCAGATCGTCTTGGAAAGTTCACGTCCCGGCATGCACCGAGCCACTCGAACAAAGTAGGTAAGGATTTGTTTAGGTGTCCTCACAGGCTGACCACAGCACCACTTCCCGGAAATTGCCGGTTGCACAATCAGAAACATCTGCTTTCCAACTACAATGCCTCAGACCATCTTGGAAAGTTCACGTCCCAGCATTGGCCGAGCCACTCGAACAAAGTAGGTAAGGATTTGTTTGGGTGTCCTCACAGGCCGTTCCCTGGAAGGGCGACTCAAGATATGGACGACAACAACACCTCAGATCGTCTTGGAAAGTTCACGTCCCGGCATGCACCGAGCCACTCGAACAAAGTAGGTAAGGATTTGTTTAGGTGTCCTCACAGGCTGACCACAGCACCACTCCCCGGAAATTGCCAGTTGCACAGGCAGAAACGTCTGCTTTCCAACAACAATGCCTCAGACCATCTTGGAAAGTTCACGTCCCGGCATTGGCCGAGCCACTCGAACAAAGTAGGTAAGGATTTGTTTGGGTGTCCTCACAGGCCGTTCCCTGGAAGGGCGACTCAAGATATGGACGACAACAACACCTCAGATCGTCTTGGAAAGTTCACGTCCCGGCATTCACCGAGCCACTCGAACAAAGTAGGTAAGGATTTGTTTAGGTGTCCTCACAGGCTGACCACAGCACCACTTCCCGGAAATTGCCAGTTGCACAGGCAGAAACATCTGCTTTCCAACTACAATGCCTCAGACCATCTTGGAAAGTTCACGTCCCAGCATTGGCCGAGCCACTCGAACAAAGTAGGTAAGGATTTGTTTGGGTGTCCTCACAGGCCGTTCCCTGGATGGCACGTCACGGTATAGACGAGAACAACACCTCAGGTCTGCTGCATTCTTTCAAATGGCTGGTATTAACGACTTGCCCCAATGACCGCAAGGGAACGCAGAGACCGCCATCGAAGATCTTCCCCGCTCTGTGCGAGGATTCGACTAGCATCTGTGTACCCGGTGCACTTGAAGAAGGCCGACAATGATTCCTTGTCTTGGCTGCCCGAGGCTAGGCAGCTCGCCGTTGTGCCAACGCGCCAAGGCGACTAAGCAGGAGCCTCAGAGCTGCTTCGACACCTCACGCTCACAGACCCTCAGAGTAGGCAAACCAAGTAGGTAAGGACACCTTACTGTCCTCACGGCCAGCATGACATGCTTGAATCGCACGCTGCTACGCGTTGTTGTCTAGTCCAGCTGGCATTCATGGCAGCCCCTATGCCACCGGGTACCCGTTGACGAGGGTGTCCCTGAAGTCTCCTCTCTCATTCTCCAAATCCTTTCCAATGACTCTTGTGTGAAGGATGGCCGGGCGGCCTTGGGCGTGTGCTTAGTGTAGTGTTTAAGAGGCCTGGTCCTTGCTGCCACAGTTAAGCACAGACACAACCCCCTGACTGATGCTGCTTGAACTCGATCAAGCCACAAACCTTAAAGCGCAGGCTTTTTCATCTCATGTCGAATTGACCCCCCCCCCCTCCTAAACAACGAACATATGCACCTTGAAAATCAGACCGCGTGCGCCTCATCGAGCTCATCCTCATCAACGATGCCAGAGTCCGGCTCGCCTCCAACCCGGTCACACATCCTATTGGGGACCTAAACCCTAAACCCTAAACCCAAAACCCTAAACCCTAAACCCTAAACCCTTATTGGGGACTGGGGCTTCGTCTTGGGAATTTCTAAGCCCAGACAAGGCCAAGACTTGCCGTGCCGTCGGTTCCTGAAAAAGAACGGTACTCCCATGGAAGGGTGGAGATTTGCGAATGAAAATCGCTTGCTTCGATCATCCCCAGCATGCTCTGGGTGTGGGCCCCTGGGGGCAGGCACTCAAAGGATGCTCCGTGGGACCTTCTGCGAATTTCTCTGAAAGCCCTAATCCCTAAACCCTAAACCCTAAACCCTAAACCCTAAACCCTAAACCCTAAACCCTAAACCCTAAACCCTAAACCCTACATTACACCTTTCTCCGACTTTCGCGCCTCCAACCGCTAAATGCCAGAGCGCAAGGCATCAAGGCGGGTCCTGTCCTCAAAGAACTACTTGCCTAACATTCAATCAAGAACCCTAAACCCTAAACCCTAAACCCTAAACCCTAAACCCGACCGCAATCTGGTCCACCATCCTTGTTCAAAGGGTCGCTCTACACCCCCTCCGCGCCTGCAGCCATGGCTCAAAAGACACACCATGAAACGAGTTTAGGGTTTAGGGTTTACGGGTTTAGGGTTTAGGGTTTAGGGTTTAGGGTTTAGGGTTTAGGGTCTAGGGTCTAGGGTTTAGGGTTTAGGGCTTAGGGTTCTTGATAAAATCTTGGCCTTGAGACATGGGGGGCTTTGGAGGGTTTAAGGTTTGGGTTCAAGCTTGAAGCGCCTAACGCTAGCTTGAGCCGTCGCGGACTGCGCGGCACCAGGGGAAAAAACACAGCAACTAGGCAGTATGATCGGATTGTTTGTCGGTCTGCTCTGGCAGCCGCAGGGGATTCAAAGTGACTGTTGAAACAGCACAAACATGCTACCCTACTGCTCCATCCCTAGTTCTGTCCTCAACGCCACACATCACTCCCTGTCTGTGAGGTCTGAGCTCGGTGGTCAAAGCAGTGGGGGGAAAGCAACGGGGACTTGAGAGTTGGCAAAGTTGCGGCTGAGGCTTTGCTTGAGAACTAGAGAGTTCTAAAGTAACATCTACCGTTGAATCTAACAGCTGACGCCCAAAGTCCCTAAACTTTGGCCTGGGGATACAGCTACGCAGTGTTCCGAGAGATTAGTCACCTGGGCATGAAGACACTGGAAAAACCTGTCAGCCTCAACCAACCCTCCTGAGCTTGCAACTCCCAGCGCCACAAAAGCTTCAGCATCCCCAGGCACCCGCTGGTTGCACAACGACCGCATTGAACTTAAGACGCAGAAACCCAACCGTTGAGTCTATATCATATACACCGTTAGACCCTGCACCGGAAACTGAAGAATAGCACGTAAGGAATCTGAGCCCAAAACCCTTCGAGACCC